GGGGAGGGGAAGACAGGAAGTTAGGGAAGAGGGAGAACACAAGTCTCATGACATCTAGGTTAGTGATAAACACAGTTCACATAAACCATACACGGAAATACAGAATTATTCCAAAAAGATTTTTAGAGCCGGTAACGAGAGCCTAAGAAGTACACTGTTAAAGTAAAAAAGTCAGTATCTTTCTCATTTCAGACCTTTAAGATTATTCTGATATTTATGTTAAATAATGAATTTGCATGAACAGGTATCAATGCATTTTTTTGATTTCATAAGAAAATAAAACTGTGATATAAAATTGGAACTACAAAAAAACTAATGTTTCCCTGGGTTAAATTAATGAAATCTACTTTTTTGTGCTTCTTTCAAATGTTTAAGGTAACAAATGCATACAAATATTTCAAAAGTACCAATAATAGTTACCAACTTTAATGTAACATTAGAAAGGACAAAAACAGAAAAATTCTTATTAAGTGATAACCTTAATGAGTTCCTGGCAAAATGCAGATCATAGTAAATTATTTACATTATTTTTGCCATAAGAAAACTTCTTAAGCAACAGTCAGCTCTCAAGTTAAAAAAACAAACATACATATAACCCAGTACTAAAGAAGGGAAATGAGTTAAAATATAACAGCTTTATCTTGGGAATGCCATTTGCTGGAAAACCACCTTACTAAAAAGTTTCAGAAAAACACTCTACTTAACTTGGATCCACAAGTGAATGCTTAGTGTTGCTTATTGGGGAATATGGAAAGATTAATATTACTGTAAAGTTTTTATAACTCCTATCTCATTATGGATTTTTCAGATTTATCTTATAAACTGAATTTCTTTTTCAGTGCATCAAAATAATTGGCCTAAAAAAAAAAGAATACCAACACATGCAGTCTGCTAACCAAATAAGGCTCTGGCATGCCAAAACAACTTTTTCTGTATCTTGATATACAGTACATTCCACAACAAACTACAGCATTTAATTTAGATTACACAACTAAATATAAATGGCTAGATTTTGGCTAACACTTAGCAGAAGCATTAAGCAAACATGGATAAATTCATAAACAAATGATGAAAGAAGTAGGTGGTTCTTGGGTACTTCTTGAAACCTCAAAACACTTGGTCCTTAGCGAGAGAACATCCTTTATTCAGTAGATCTTAACAGTACAATGTATAGTAAGTCCTAAAACCTTCTAAAAATTTTGGCAGTTGACTCCAGTAGTGCTCCTTGATTCAAGGAAGGAATGAAGGTTTGTGTTTCTTGCCTGCTCTAGTCACGCAGAATTGTATAAAGTCTCCTTAAAGATTTTAAAAAATGATTTCTATAGTTGGGTGTCTTGTTACTTCAGAAATAAAGGCTTCATACTGAGAAAATGAAGGACACTTTTCTCTCTGTATTTAGTTGAAAGGTAGAAAGAAGAAAGAAAATATAAGAAAAGCTTGAAGACGAGAGAGATATAAAATACAGAGCAGCCACTACAAGGACAGCATGCACCAGATATTTCTATAGGAATGAGAGTGATAGAAAGTCAGAGACATGTCTTCTTCACGAGGCATTTAGTTTATCCTCAATTATCAAGAACACTGTGGCAAAGTTGTATTCCTACCACAAAAAAGAAAAGACTTCCAACTGAAAAAGGAATTCCTAAAACATTACTCACTACTAAAATTAAATTTAAATTGAGGGAAAAATAATCCTTAAAGGTTTCCTGTCTGACAGGCAAAAAAGTATGGCAATCAAATAATCTTGCTTTACTAGTTAAGTAGGACAGAAGTCATGAATTAAGCAAGCAATATTTACATCTGTTAATGCAATATGCACTTGTTCTCATACTTATGCTGTTAGTTTGTATAAATGAGACTAATCTCATTTACATTTTGAGCAAGAAACTCACCACTTGGCCCACATGTCATGTAGTGGGTAATAGAATTAGGAGCTTTGTTGCTCCCTAGACCTGCTTTTTGAATTTCTGCTTTCTTGTACTTTGTCCATATCTGCAGGAAAAAAGCATTTCATGTTATTTAATCAAAGGTTAAACATAATACAATTCATGAAGATAAGAAACTAAAGCACTCTCATTGAGTAGGAAAAGGAGGAGGAATCTAACTCTGGGAAATTTGTTAATCTGATAGACATCTTATTAATTCAAGACTGACTTTTAGTTTAAAAGCTACAAATAATATGCTTTCTTAGTGTCAGAAAGGTTTACTTATTATGTTTATTTACTAAATGGTCACATATAGTTGTAAAGTAAAAAGTGATCTTGCATGCAGTGGCAGAAACAGCCACAATGAAATATTTGTATTATTTACTAAGAAAACCTGGGCTTATGGCATATTTTGTAGGCAAGTAATATACCTGCTTACACTGTCAACAGCTAAAATTGTTTTGGTCAAAGGGGACCCAATGTTTAACAGTGGACGTTTACAATGTCACACAAATAATATGGGTATAGTTTCTAGAAACCTAGGTCAGGAACAGAAACTATGCAGTTTCATCTAAAATTATGGTATTGGGGGCAATACACTGTAATGCCCCCAAAGTATTACAATGGGGGCATCTGTAATACTTTGAACAATAAAGATAAATTTAAAAATAAATAAATAAATAAATAAAATAAAATTAGGGTATTGAATCTCATATAATTTTTCAAATAATCCTTTGGGAAGCCATAGAATTTTTATGGAGATGTCTTAGAAGAAAAACATGCAGCTGCTCAACTGAGTCAGAGTTACTTTAATCTTAAAAAAATTTTTTTTAATTGGGGGCATCTTTGTAAGATTTCATTTATAGAAAATATTGTGTTAATATAGTGTTCTAAGAGACTTTTATGACTCCGCAGCTTGTGATAGTTTCTGGGGGAAATCTAGTCTGTATTCTTAGACAATCATCAAGACACATGGACATGGTATGCATGTATCTGTCTTACATGCATAGTGTGTATCTTCTTTTTGAAAATGTGCTGTATATATAACTATAGCCATTTGGGTTGGAAATACTTCTTTACTGTAAATGTAATTTTGTAAAATAATCACAGTTTTTAATATAACAGCACACAATTTCTCAATGTATTAAATTTCAAATTTAGTATTTTAAATTTAAAATGTATGGCCAGATTTATATTTAAAAAGTTGAAACAGTTGAGAAATAAAACTTATCTCAATGTGGAAAAGAAATAATTATTATATTTTCATCATATATGGCCTCCATCTAATCTCATCTGTATTTACCATTAAGTTTTTATTCCTAGGTTATGGAAAAAAAAGGAACGCCAAAAACATTTGAAATGTTAGGACGAAGTATGAAACAAATGACAATAAAACAGATTAATGTATTCACAAAGAAAACATATTAGGTGGTACTAAAAAATATGAAAATTTTCTGATTGCCTGCCTGCTTTAGCGCTAGTTTTAGTAATAGCTGGCTATAAGAAAAGAAGTACAGTCAAATACATAAATAGAAGGGGCCTAGTTTCTGAAATGATCTTGTGTTACAAAAGGATACAAATTTCATTAAGCAAAGATTCTCTAGATTGGTTTCTTTGGTTCAATTAATACAATAATTAATATAACAACATGTAGTAAGTAGTAATTTCCTTCATCTTTAGAAAGTCACATTTCAAAGCACTCCTTTCAGATGCCAGGCTGTTATTATCAGAAATACTTAGGCTAAATCAAAATGGCAAAAATATTCCAGAGACAGAGTGAAGATACACTCCTCCAGAGATAAGTGAGAGTTAGGAGTTTTTATTTTTTTTTTATTCTGGGAGATTCAAGTTTAGCTGATTCTGCTTTAACACTGCTATGACCACAGCAAGAAATTTTAAAGTTAATGACGCCAAAGTTAGCAAATATTTTCTCTATCTTATATGGTTATTTTTTAGCTATGAGTCGTATTCTTAGTTCTAAAATTTGTTCTACTAAAAACATACCTATTTGTTTAAATGGTTACAAATCCTAATATTTTATTTTAGCACAATGTACTCATTTTAGAAAATTGTTTTAAGGATAGACATATAATTTAATAATAAATTATAGAATTATAGAAGTAACGATCTTCATTCACCACTTTGTAAACTTGCTAGCCTTTTTAACAGAAGTAAAAATGCAAATTTCCAACACATTGAGTATGATTGGTTTATTTCTCTTTAACTCTATATAAAAAAAAGAACTAGAAAAACTGTGTTAACTGATTCCAAGTAAAAAAAGGTAATCTTGAAAGAAGATGAAGAAAAGTGCAGAAAAGAAATAGCATACATACAAATGCTCCTAGTCACTGTATAAGTCACATTTAAACTTGATGGGGTTTTTAAGAATTACGCTAACTTTATTAGTATTAACAATTCTTAAAATCTGAACAATTTTATAAATATGGGCAGTAGTTAATATTTGCTACGTAAAGTATTGAGTTATTAGCTATTTTTTTGAAAATAAAACAGGACAGAAGGCATAATTAAATGGCAAAAGAAAATGATTTTTTTTTTTTACATACTTTCCTGTACATGTGCAATATGTAGTGCACATTCTGGAAATAAAAGAAAGGAATGAGAAGGAGGAAGGGAGAAAATGAGCATTCTTTTTTGGAAGCAACAAAGTATGACCTAGAACTGCTTTCTTGGTAATTATAGCATGCAACTATCTTAACATGCTTCTAAAACTAACACTCTCTTATCAGGTGACAAGAAATGTGAAGGAGGAGCATGTATTGTGTTAAGGGTTTTAAAGTCATGCAGAAAATGTACAATGCAATTAATATTCCATGCAGGCTTTGGTGTGGTTACACATTCATATTTATATACAAGCTATCATGTACAGCCAAACACTACGCCATAATTTGAAAATAAAAATATGAACCTTGCCAAATACTTTTCAACAGCAGCTCTTCAAGTCAGATTAGAGAAGCATAGTGCACATCAAATGACATAGTATTATACTGCGCAGTTCTGATCACACACAACCATATTCATACCAAACAGTCTGATTATCCTCAGAAACCACCAATGCAGCTTCTGTATCACCAGGACAGAGGCATGCGGGAGTGATAAGATTATTGCTCTCCACAGAAGACTGTGGGTTACTGTTACCAGGGTTCTGATTATCAGAAAACTGTTCATTATCTTTCTGTGCAGCTTCATCCAAAGAGGCAGAAGCCTGGTCAGTTACTCTGGTGACTGGTCTGGGAGGTAACCCACTAATGTTACTAACTAACTCTGTATTCAGGGATAAAAATGGCGGAGATGGATGAGTAAATGACTCTATGCTATCTTTAGCTGATATTACAAATATATCATTAGACATATTAATAGTGGCAAAAGTTTGGTTTAGAAAATGTGACCTTTCTGTTGTTGAGTTTCTAGCCTGGGCATATAGAGACTCAGGCACATCTGTAACTAAATCAATTTGTGCATGAGAACCTGTAGAAAGTGTTGGGCTGTGAAGTGTATGGGAGGACCACTGGTGTAAACGGTACTCACTAGATGCTGCAGTGATGTTGCTATCAGCAGTAGCTGGTGATGAATCAACTGAAACAGGTAGTCTACTGTCCTTGGTCAAAAAATCATGGATGCTTGTCCTTCGAGTAGTTCCTTCGGCAGTAGAGATCACACTGCTTGCACGAGGTAAAGTGGCATAAGGATTACTATCTTTTGATTGTCGTGACAAAGAAGATTCTTTTACTAATTTTATCTTTCCTTGAGTGCCTGGAGTAGGTTTTCCTGGAGAACTAATAAAGTAGGTATCTTCAGTCTTTCGAGGACCAGGTCTCACAAATTGTTCAGGCTTAGTTGTCCGTCTATCATAGAAGTCTCCTGGAGTTTTTCCACTTACTGACCTGGCCAGACCACAGCTAACTGGTTTGCTTTTTCCCAAAAAGTCAGAAGAGACAGACAAACTTTTCATTACTTCATCTAACAGATTTTCTTGACTTGAGGACTTTATCTGTTAAAAAACAAAGCAGATTAATGAATAGCAGGCATGCTTTTACTTTCCTGATATATTAGACTGTATAATATAAAATCGCCAGAATTCCCACACACTCTTTTACTTTAAAAAAGCTCTGAAGTTCAATCAGAGATATTTAACTTATAATGCTAATCTAAATTACGGTCACCTGTAAAACTAACCTGTATTGAGGTAAGCTTGTTGCTTTCTTCCAAAAACTGTTGTAGAGTAACAACTTCACTTCCAGGGGAACCAGTTTTGATCTTGTGATGTGCTCGACTCTCTAATGTTTCAGGCATTTTGTGCTGGAGCACTGGACTTGATCTGGTCTGTCTTTTCAAGTACTGGACTGGACTGCTACCACTGCTGGACCAAGCCTCATGATCATGAAGCAGGCTAAATTCTCCACTGCTATGGCTTTGTGGCCTGCTTTGGATATTAACCGCACCTGCTTTTGGAGTAAACGGGGTGTTAAGAATTGAGTAATAGAAATGAGATTAAAACTACGTAAGTAATAAGATTTTTTTACTGGATTCTTATAAAGAGCCAAACTGACTTTCAAGCTTTACTGAGAAATGCTTAGTAAACTGTTTCTCTTTCACCTACCTAACAACTGCCTGATTATTTTGCCTACCATAGACTTCCTTACCAGTCTACCATAGCCTGCTTCTGTATTTTGAAAATTTGACAAATATAAGCACCACAAGAGCAAAGACTTGCTTTCACCACCATACCCAGAGCCTAGACATATAAATATATAGGCACTTAATGCATCTGATGAGTAAATGAATGAATAAATGGATAATACATTTTTTTAAAGTTGATGTTCAAATACAAGCTGACCCTTGAGTAACATGGATTAGGGGTGCTGACCCCCCCCATCTGCATATATTCAAGGGTCAACTGTAAATAAAATACCTCACAATTTAGAACAAAACATGATCATATGAAGTTTAAGTTACTTTAGGATGTTAAAACCAAAAACTATTCTAAATGCTAAAAATTCTAATGCTGTGCCTTTCTATAAAGTCTTTACTCCTGACTTAAAGTTTTCTCTGTTCATCCTTAATAACCTTAAAGAAAAATTTTTTTAATTTAAATAGGCATATAAGGAGAGTAAATTGAGACATGATGTAATGACTTAGAAAGTTCCATTAAAAAGTAAAATCAAATACGCAGTATTTTATTCTTTATTTAATGTCTGAATCATCTGATTGTTCATGGGTTCCACTGTTGGTATGGTGGCTACTCAGTTGAGGCTGAGCAACAATATAGAATGCAAATTACTAGTGCTGGTAAAAAAAGCTACCTAAAGTTTATGCTATTCCTTCAGAATGCTAATTCATTTTGATCAAAAGCAAACTGTATAGATACAGTGTTCAGATAGAAAATGCAACTTTCTATGGTTTCCTAATCACAAGAAAGTAAAGTAGACCATGAAATAATTTAGAACAAGTTATGTAATAATTTTATAGAAATAAGAGTTTCTTAAATTTTCAAATACTTCTTCATATTTTCAGACTACATTTTCCTACTGGATATACAAACATGATTATAAAAATTTTTTTAATCTCTCCTTTAAATCATATTTTTCAGATCACAGCAACAAAGTCACAGCATTAATGATAAAAATAAAATGGAGACAAAAGGATTTTATAATACAAAAAGCAATAGAACAAATGCACTGAAAATAATCTGACAATTCTGTACTGTAGAGAATAGTATTTTAACAAAGTCTTGTAATCTATTAAACAATTACAGAAGCTGACTGGCAGTATACCTTAAAGAAAAACGGTAGTCAAGGCTTCCAGATGTTATATAAAAACCTTAGCTTGCCAGGTTATAACTCACAAATAATTGGTCATAGCATCTGAAAGCTGAGAGCTCAATGTAAACTTATAGTTCTTTCTCAGAACACAAGAAACCAAATTGAACTCATTGTTTTCAGGGTACCTGGAAATTTTGACTTTAAAAAATAAGTAAAAACTGATATTTTAATTTTGACTTTCTTACGAAGAATTTTCAAAATGACTGGGCAGGTAACAGGAATTAGAATTTTTCGTCCTGTCTTCTTTAAGTGAATAAGAAATATTATGAATTTATTCTTGGTTAAGAAGATACCTAAAGCCGTCACCTTTTAACTATCTAAACTAAGACCTCTCATTATATCTTATTTTATTTGGTGAAACAAATAAACTAGTCTTTTTTTCAGAAAAAAAAAAGAAAAACAAACAAAAAACCTTACCTTGGAATACATACTTAAAAATTAAGGAAAAAAAAAAATCTTGAAATAATTTTTAGATAAGCTATATACACCCACTCGGCTCTTGTTACACATATATACACATATACAATACACATACACAACTGCCTTATCAAATTAAAAAAATATTTCATGGATAGATTAAGTATATGTAAAACACTTTCTATAATGTGAGTTCAATGTACACGCACCATGAAAAAATTAAGGACAACCATTTTAATGACCAAGACAAAACGTAAGTAAAATAAGACCTACATATATTTTTGAAGTATAAAGATTATAATAAAACTACTTTATCTGTGAAAGATAAAAAATGGAAACCAAAATAACTGCTCCTGTTTTTACATTTATGTACATTGAAATACATTTGTATTACAATGTTAAAAGTATAAAATATTCCAAACAGGTGATTTGGATTTCACACTTTACCCCAGAAACTTCATCAATCTCCCTCTTAAATCTGGAAATGGATGGAACATATGAATTAATTTACCTACAGCATACCTTTGATTTCATGGAGTGAAGCATTGTTATTGCTATTGCTAGTGGATGTCCTGCCACTATCAAGGCTGGCTGGTCTCGAAGCTAAATGAAAAAATCAGGAGACAGTGTGATAAAACTTCCAGCTGATGACCCTGAATTTCACATTCTGATCACAGAATGCTTTGAGGAAGCAATCATGCATACTTTCACACATTGAGCATGCCCACCAACAGCTGAATAGTATAGATTAGAGAGCAAGGACATTTCCACATAGTTCAGTAAGACACTAGAAGAGGACACTTCTGAACCAATAGTTGAAATTCAAAGAAAAGAAGATAAATTGCATATTTAGATTTGAATATGATTTCTACAAAGATACTAGGACTGTTTTAGATGAAGAGAGTGAGTGACATGCGAAAAAAAAGTGCTAATGATTAGGTACAACAGATGAGACAAGGAACCCTGCACAGTGCAGAGATGCCACAGAGGAGGAATATGAGCATCAGCAGTTAATGTCCTATAGTTCTATCTGTACAAGGGAAACAACTGCACAGCTAACACGGCCCTATCCTATATCTTAAAATCCTGCTTACATACGCAATTCCATTAACATGTTATCCATTTATTGTTAATAACTTAGTTTGGTAAGATGATTTTCCAGATAGAAATTTAAAAACCTGAAAAGCCTAACACTGCAGAAAATGTGGTTTCTTAGAGTTCATATTTTTCTAAACCAATGGTAAAAATTAACTTAAAACTTATACCAAAATGGCAGCAAAATTACCTTTACTCATTATGCAGGCATACTTTATAAATGACCTTGACTAAAAGAGACTATTTAGATTAAGTGGTAACCTTAAAGGGGACAAAAGGAAGTATTAGGTTTGAAGAACTGGCAGAGGTATGAGATGCAGGTTAGATAAAACATGCTCGTTGGCAATGCACATTCAGATTCAATGCGACATTCTATATGTAACACGTATTCTCTAAATAAAGTTCATATCTTACCATGAACTCTTGATCCCGTACTAGAATCATCACTAATACCTTGTGGACTTATATCTTCAAAGGATGTAGCATCTACATAAGATAGCAAAATGGATATAAAAGTATTTAACAAAAAAACCCATTATAAAATTTTATTTACTCAGAATATGGAAATTCTTTTTCAATCACATAATACATCTCGATTTAACATATTTCACAGACTCAATCAAAAACTGGAACTGGGAGTAAGAAACAGAATAAGCTCTGATGAGAGTTTACTCGTCAATGAAACAGTGTCCGTGACCCTGCAAAGCAAAGCAAGAGCCTCGGCTGTTCTACATGGTTTTCTCTGTTTGAAGTTGTATTATTTTCAGGTTTTTTTGGTGTGTTTTTTTAAAGTTCTTATCATTCTCCTTTTCTCTCACTTTACTTTTACTTTTCTTGTTAGTTCATTAGCTACTTACTATCAAAGACCTAGGAAAAATTTTAGTTATTTGTATGTCTTAACTTTTTTGAAATGATTTGAAAATTCCCTCAAATCAAAGCCAGATTGTTTTGATAATTATTTCAGGTTGTTGCTGTCAAAAAAAGTACACATGGGAAAGTCAAATTAAAATTCCTGTTGCCAACAGTTCCACAACAGTGCAAATAGCAGACGGCCTATACCTTTATTATTAACCAACTGCTTGGATCTGAAGCCTGTAGAAGAGTTGACAGTTGAAAAGTTGATAGCTGTAGTAGAGAAGGCCATAGCTCCCAATTCTTTCCTCCTTTTACCCGTTGAAATATCATCAGGAACCTCCAAATTCTCAGTACTACCTGTCCACTGTCCTCCTGCTAGGACCATGGACTGCACCAGGTCATTCATGGCTGGGATGCAAATGAAAGCAAATGAATCAGCATGGTTAATGTTTTTGCTCTTATTTCTCTTTTGTATTATAAATGATCTGGGGGAGTTTTCCTAAAGATTAACGCAAGTGAAAATCAAAAACTATAACCACAAGGTAACTCGAATTATGACATGCATTCAGCTGGATGAAATGAATAGGCCAAAGGCTGATAAATTTCAGTAAATATTTTATCCCATCTCTACCCCCTTTAAAGACAGGAAAAGGAATTTTACTCTGTACAACTGCCATGCTTTTGTGCAGTGATATGCAATATAATTAGCAGCCTTCACAATGTGGTTTTGTGGTGACAAAAATGGAATGAAAAAGGTAAGATGGAGAGCAGTTCTTATATAGCATCATTATTGAAAATGATAAAGAGTCCTTGGTCAGAGCAGGTTACTGAAGAAATTATTCATTTAATCAATCAAATAAGTATACCATTCGATAAAAACCTGAAAGAGACGATAGTCAAAGTGACAGACATTTAATGTGATTATGTAATTACCCATTCCACTTTTTTAAAAAAAGGAAACCAGAGTATTATTATATAAAGAATGACAAACATTTTTAAGGGTTACAGGCCATTTTATTTATTTATTTATTTATTTAATCTAGAGTAAATTAAGGAAATAAATTCCTAATGCTAAATGTTTTGTTATATTTTAAGTAAATTTCTTTGGGGAAAAAATCTCTAATGGCATAAAAAATTAGTTTTTTTCTGCCAACTTTTAGAAACCACTGGAAATTTACAAGTGTATTATTACATGTACAACTAAACATATACATGTATATGTATGTATCAGTGAACATACATATAATGCTAATTCAGTGCCAGTTTTGGGAAAAAAACCTCTCCCAGCTCCTTGTATTAGAGAAAGACTGCACTTTGTAAAATAAGAAAATCGGCACAGTCCAGAGAAACGTTAGTGAAAATTAGTAATGGAAGCCAATGTAGTCAACTGAAAGAAGCTGAACTGTCATAAAGTCTTACACATGGAACGACGGTAGCAGGCCTTCATTTTGTCTTTATCCTTCGGTCTGTTCCTCAAAAAGGGCAGTCTTTTCAGTGCAACCACTTTAATGTCAGAGCATGAGGAAAAACAGAAACAGAAAAATGAAACAGAAAAAAGGGAGAAGAACAGATGGGAGTTAAATGTTGAAATTAAGGACAGAAATGAATGTCTGAGTTTCAGCTTATGTATGCTATATTAAAGCTACTATTCTCGTGCTGCTGAGTGATAATGAAATATGAAATAAGCACTCTGATACTTCAAAATACTTGGAAAAGCACTGAAGACAATGATGAGGAACATATACTTTGAAAGCTTGGATTAGCTAAAGTCCTATAAATACAGGAACTGGTTACAATTACTTATGGAACAATTGTCCTAGTTAAGTTGTAAATGTCTACCTTTAAAATTAGGGCTATTGCCTGGCCGGCCGTGGCTCAGCAGTTGAGCATTGACCTAGGATCCAGGAGATTGCAGTTCGATTCCAGGTCAGGACACATGCCCAGGTTGGGAGCTCGATCCCCAGTCGGGGGCTGGCAGGAGGCAGCCAATCAATGACGACTCTCTCATCATCGATGTTTCTCCCTCCCTCTCTCTCCCCCTCTCCTTTCCTCTCTCTGAAATCAATAAAGATATATATATATATTTTAAAAAGTTATAAAATTAGGGATATTGGTGGGCCACAGAGTATATGTGATAAAAATGTACAAGGCTTTTCAATCCTCTATTTTCTTTAATTTTTTAAATTATAAGGCTTTACAGAAAAAGTAATTTAGGCAAATGCACATAAGAATATTTTAGTAATACATATCACCAAAAACTAGAGTGCCCAGGGGATATTTAAAACAATCTAAAGAAGCTTCTAAAACTTTCATTAAAAATTTTCAATACTTTCTTAAACTTTAAGAAATAGAGAATTGCTTCTTGGTTTAAACTGAATTCTGGTGCATTATTTAGTAGTGCCATGGAAAAACATATTCTTTTGAACAGTCTTTCAAAAGATGAAATGAGCAATTACATTAAATTTCATTTTACAAAAAGTTGTCTGGGGAAAGGGGAAAAAAGAGAGTATTTTGACAGTAGTAATAAGTGCTAGTACTAAGTCCTCATAAGGCTAAAAGATACAAAGGCATCCTAAAGCAAGCAAAAATAACCAAAAAAATAAGTATATATTACATTTTTAGATATTTTGAAGGGCTTTTGCAGTTAGATTATTAAAAAATATAAAAGATAACCCTATGCAAAAAAATTTTGTGAATGAAAATGAGGGTTATAACTACAGTAGAAGTTATTAGCACAAAAATAAAAAATGTTCACTAGAGTCACTAACTTTCTTAAACTACATTTTAATAAAATTTAAATACAAAAAGCCCTAGCTGGGTGGCTCAGTTGGTTGGAGCATCATCCCACAAACAAAGAGGTCATGGGTTTGATCCCCAGTTGGGGCATGTGCGGGGAGGTAATCGATTGATGTTTCTCTCTCACATCAATGTTCCCCCTCCCTCCTTCCTCTCTCTCTGTCTAAAAATCAATTAAAACAAAACATCCTCGGGTGAGGATTAAAATTTTTTTTTAAATAAATAAATACAAAAAATGTTACACCGTTTTGAAACTACAATTCAGGTGCTAGGGAAACAACTTGCATAAAGACTTAAAAACATACTGTGCACAGCTTTAATAACTATGCTCTTTCTCAGGGTTTCCCATTGTCTTGTAAATAATCAAAGTTCTTCTGACAAACTGTCAAGAATCATTCTTAAGGAGAATGCAATGTATATACAGCTTTTTAATTTACATATTTGATTGCCATTAAGAATAGTCATGATTCATTTAAAAGCTTTTAATTTTACCTATTTCTTTTCTAGCTTTATATAAAACTACTTTCAATGATTAAAAAGAAATGAACTGAAAGCAATGTAAAAATGGACACTTAGCTAAAACAAAGTTGAGTGGTTGCAGCATGCACATGCTGTCTTGTTTAGATACTTTCTTTTTCTGTTTTCAACTGTTTTCCAAAGACTGCTTTATTGACAGCCCAGACACTCTTCCAAAGGGACAGGACAAAAGGAGTTTCAAGTTTGCCAGTGGCAGAATGTGATCTTTCTTATGGCAATTAGTTTTTAGATACACAACATTCTTTTCCCAAACCATACTGTAATTTAAAAAATTAACTACACTCACTACCATTTCTCATTTAATAAAATGTCAGATATTTTATACCTAAAGATAGAGATAAAATTAAATTATTAAATTATCTGGAAACATTTTAAGGAAAACTTGATCTCTCTACAATACTCAGAAGTTTCATGCAGATTTGGCTGATAAAACTAGGTAGCAAGAGACCAATGTAACAATAATCTTATGGGAGGATACAGAATTAAACAAATTTCTTGAGCCTACTATATAAATACACATATGTATATACACACATGTATGTATGAATATGTACATATGTATGTATATGATTTGTTGCAATGGGTTCTATTTGCTAAGGTATTGAAGTTGCATTCTGAAATATACCCTATAATGAATGTCTAATCTCCTACACCTGAAAATACTGCCTTTTCAGAGATAATTCCCGAGGCCAAAACACTGTCTATAGTTTTTTGACAGTTGTCCATATGGAGTGTCTACTCCTAGGGGAAGTAGTAGCTGTTTTAGCCTGCTATTTACTTCAAAAGAATAATAGTGAAATGTGTGTGTGTGTGTATGTATGTATATGTATATATATATATATAAATCTGTTTTTAAAATGTAATGACTCTGGTGATAAAGTGAGTGGATTCATAATATACTGTTCACATATTTTATAGGAACACTGACAGTCAACTTCTTGGACATCTTCTATGGGCCTAGGATTGGATTCTTTTCTTCCTCTTAAAATACACTTCTTTAGGCTTTTACTTTGCTCTTGCTGTTTAGCTAAGCACACTAGTAATGAAATTAAGAGATTATGAATTATATAGAGCACGTTATGATGTGAAATTATTATGTATTTGTAATTAAAAACATTAAATCACAAGTTTATACACAAATTCATATCTCCTCACCTATTTTAATCAATCCCTTATATCAAGCACTCCCCCTCAATAATTTTCATAACCTTCAATTGTTTCTAAATCTTTGAATAGCATTTTCTTCAAATTCATACCTATTTCTTTGCTTTGCCCACTGTAACTTTGTTCCAATTTAATAGCAGAATATAAGTAAAACTTTATTATAAAATGCCTTATTATTCTACTTTGTTATAATTATGAAAATGAGCTCTTGTAAATATTTCTCACTTGCTCCTCATAATCACCCTGTTAAGTAAAACACAAAGGTGAAATGCCTGTTCATATTAACAGAACTAGCAAAAGGCAGAGGTATTCTGGCTCTTATTTCAATGTTCTTTCTATACTGTATTACCTCCCTGGCCAAATGATGGTGTTCTGTGTATGGGATATCTTTAAACACACAATATAGAAAATCATGTGGTTATGCATTATTGTAGTATGCAATGAATTTTAAAATTGTATGGAGTTAAAAAGAAATGTGTTAATTAGACTATTATCTAAAAGGACTGTTGAAGTTATTTTTAAAAAATTTTTAGAGAGTATTCTAAAACAATACCAGACATCACAAATGTTTAAAGAGTTTAAGCACTCACTGCTGCTCTTCTTGGTCCCCAAAGTTTGGCCATCTTCTAAAGAGTTTGAACCTACTGAAGAACTATCTTGACTATCTTGATGCGGGAGTTGAAGAAATCCTTCACCGGAGTCTGAGCGGGTAGGTGTTAATGTTAGAGATTTCTGACGCTCCCGATTAATATCCTTCTTAGACTTTATCAATTTTCTCATTTTTAAAGTAATCCAGTTGCCTCTCCTGACAGAATAATTTAAAAAGTTCTTATCAGTCTAAAATTCAACATATAAATCCTTCACAAAATTGCAAGTTTAAAATATAACTTTCTTTTTTCAGAATAAAAATGAGTAAAATTTGGTTAACAGTACCTTCTTGGAGGAGATGGCTCATAAAATTTGTACTGATCCATAATTTTCTCTTCTAATTTCTCCTTTTGTCGTCTTAATTCATTTAACTTATCACTATAAAAATAAAAATTAAATTTTAGGACATGCATATTTTGTATAGTTATAAATGATATTATTAAGTTATTCTGTGACTATGATCTAACTTCTCTCCAAAACATGAACAAATACAAATACCATAGTTGAAAACTAAGAATTTATTAGGTAGTAACAATGGATTTTTTTCCCAAGTTTCTCCTTTTAAATTTACAACTTACTTAAATAAAAGGATGTAGGATTTAAAGTTTCAATTCTTCAATAGGGTTTGTTTGAAAAATTTTTTCCATGATACAATCCTATCATGACAAAGGAATTCTCTTAACATCTTTTTATAGCTATTAAAAAAACATTATATCAACATTTATTTTTCCCCTATTTTTAGATCACTTGTGGAAGGAAGGGTGATTATAACTTATATAGATAAAAAAATAAAATGAACAGTTTGCTTACAATTACAAATATAATCTTGCAACCACATCTCTATGCAAACAGATGTTTTCCTTTATAGCAGAATTATTTAGACTTAAGTTACCTGTAGAGAATTATTTCCTGCCTTCAGCAATATATGAATATACCAGTTTCACCACATCTCAGTCTCACTTTTTTGTTCTTGGTAGTATATATTATATAGGGAAAAATCACAGATCATAGACTAAAGTAAAAGTAAAATAAACTCTAAAAAACTGTCACTTACAATGAGGAAGGCATGAGGTGATATAAAGATGACTAATAAGTAGCCCAGTTCTGCTTACAATATAATAGTAAAGATAAATACGTAAATGTCTATTATAATCCAAGGTAATAGCAGTGCCAAAATAAAAGTACAATGGGAGTACAACAGGAACTTATAAAAGAGAAAATATTTCTATCTCAGATAACCAAAGAAAAGCCTCATGGCCCTAGCTGGTGTGACTAGGTTGGGAGGAGTGTCATCCAGTAACACCAAAAGGTTGTGGGTTCTATTCCTGGTCAGGGCACATACCTAGGTTGCCGGTTCGATCCCTGGCCCAGGTCAGAGCTCGTATGGGAGGCAACCGATCAATATTTCTCTCTCACATTGATGTTTCTCTCTACCTTTCTCTTTCTCTCTGTCCTTCCCTCTTCCCTCCCTCTTTCTAAAAATGAAAATGTCTTCAGGTGAAGATTAAAAAAAGAAAGAAAGAAAAGAAAAGCCTCCTGAAGAACAGAGCCACATTGGATAGACTGAAAAGGAAAGACAAGAAAAGTGAATTAGGCAGTTTAGCTGAGGGGAAGTAGTGAGGGAGTTTTGGGTTAAGATTTTGCTCACGAGGAAACCACAATTATTGAAGGTTTCATTATAAAGTGACATTATAAAATGTTTGCTTTAGGTACCTTAACTCAATGATAGAAAGGATATGCCAGAAAAGATGGAGGTAAAGAAAGCATTCAGAAGGCTAATGGATAGTCTAGTTGAGAGGTAAGGTTAAATTAGGGTAGTGGGAACTGAAGGAAACTGTTTTGAGAGTATATGGAAGAAGATGCTTTATGAACAGAAGTTGCCAAAAGTTATACCACAGCACAAATAGCAGAAGGCCTAAACCTCCCAATTCTTTCCCCCTTTTTCATGTTGAAGTAATATCAGGAACCTCCAAATTCTCAGTACTACCTGTTCTTTGTCACTCCTGCTAGGACAATGGGGCACAAGCATTCAGGCAGAAATGTCTGACATGCAAGATGGATATTTTAACTTAAATTTGATAAGTCAGGATACTAATTTTGAAGTCAAAATATAGGTAAAATCACTGAAACCCTGGACATGAATTAGTCACCAAGGGTCAGAATACTAAGATAAGCTTTGGATAATGCCTCTGCTTAACAGACAGGAAACTCAAATACCAAGAGCTTTAGATATACTCGCTGCTTAAACTAAAATACCTCTTATGTCAGAGAGTAAAGGTATACATACCCCTGAAAGGATTGAAGGTGTAGTCCAAAGTGGCCAGCCGCAAATGTGAAATTTCTTTGAGGTTTTGCATTTATATTAAAAATTCATGCAAACTCTGCCTTTGCTCCATGTGTATGAATATAATGTTCCCTGCCCCAAATTTTATAATAAAATTAATGCTTCAAAAAATGTATAATGTATCCTGGTTTCATATATACCCTGGCTTGCCATCATGTACATCATGACATTATTTCACTTACTCCTTAGGATAATCCTAGAAGTAGGTATTATATCTATATTTTGGAGAAAAAGAAACCAATGATCAAAGAAGTGAAGTAACTAGTCTATGGTCACATAACTAGTGATTGGAAGAATTGGGATTTGAATTTCAGGAGCTGATTTCAACATCTGTGCTTCTATTATACTGTGGTGCTTCTCATCTAGTGACAAGAGGAAGATAAGAATTTAGTAAAGGTAGATCGTGGTGTAATACAGACTACACACTGAGCTGCCCAGGCAAAATCCTGATTTTACCAGATTCCTCCTCTCTCAATGGAGACACAACTTAGCACTCATTAAGCTGTGTCAATTCTATTTCTCACATCTCTCTCGTATTTCATCTCAAATACCACTGCTTGTGAATTATTTTTCATTAGATTATTACACCAGCTTTCCTAAAACTTATTTCTTGTCTCTATTCTCAGAATCTCCAATCCATACTCTAAAATGCCATCAGTGGTGGGGTTTTTTTAATTGCAGACCTGATCATATTACTCCCTTGTTCAAATTTTTCAGAGACTCCTTTGTATGGCACAGAAATACCTTTGAGAAGTTGCTCCTGTATGAAAATTTATCCCCTTCTCTGTTGCTCCTCCTTCCTCAATTTTGCTCCAACAAGAAAAATTACTTTTTAGATCCTGTAGCATGCCATAACACACTTTCCTCACACTGCTGTGTTTCACAACTGCTGCTGTATTGGCCTTGTATGCCTCCTCAGGTGAACTCCTACTGAACCCCTAAGTCTCAGCTCAATCAATTTTGGAAAGTCAACCTTGCCTCTCCCAGACTAAGGATGCTATATTTCTATGGCCTCCTGTGCATATCTCCATTATGGCAATTATTTGTATTTCTCACTTAATATTACTAGTTCTTTAAGAGCAGTACCCATGTTTTCATGTTAGTATTTCTGGTTACTAGCATACAGCCTGAAACATAAGTACTCAAAAAAATATATGTTGAAATAATGATGTTGAAAAAGGAAAAAAGTAGAGTTTTCTCTGTCACCAGAAATTGCAATGATAAAATCATGTGTAATATTTCAGAGTGCAAAATTATTTGGTACCTACATGTACTGTCTTTGCTCAACATGAAAAAGATCCTTGCTTTCCATATTCTGCTCCAACAGTGTTCTGTTCTGCAGCATTAATGTCTGAATTTGATCTAGTAGATGTCGATTTTCTTCTTCTAAATTTCCTTTAAGTTGACTTAGCAACTGTTCAAACACAAAGTTATTTTTTAAAATATCAACTTTTACATATAACATCAATCACCCAAAACATCTGAAAAATAGAGCACTTCAGACTTATGTCCCTTGCTATTTGAACAATTAGATGGTCACATTTTTACCAGAATGTGAGTGATTAGTTTGGTAATAATGACAGCCAAAGAATTGGGTTATGTGCTGTGCATATATATATTTTCATAGTTCTCATAAACACTGGGTTTAACATAAATAACTTATCCAGTTCCAAAAACACTGCTTTCTTCAAAATTGTTTACCTTATAGTCTGAAAGCTAGATTCAAATCTCTGGCCTTCTGTTTAAGTAGCTATGAAACATGGACAAGTTAGTTAATTCTCTGAGCTTCAATGACCTCATCTATAAAATGAGGATAATAATTCCCATCCTGCAAGATTTTTGCAAAGACTAAATAACAGATGTAAAGTACCTGGTGTTATGCCTATGGCATGAAATAGATACTTAATAAACCTCATTCTTCCCCCAACAAGGAGAAGGAGTCAAAGTGATGGTGTGACAGTTTCAAGCCCAGGCCTCAGGAGGCCTTATGTGCCTCCGCTCAGTCTCTGGGAATCCTGCTAGAGGATGAGTAATCAGTGAAGTATGCTAGTGGGGCCACCCTAGAACCAGCCAGCCCTCAGAGCACATGCCAGCCAACTACCTGCAGATGCAGGAGCAAGTACTGCTAAGATCAACTGATACTGGTCTACACAGCAATTCATGTATCAGCACATCTGCTCAACTGACTTACAGACTCATAAGGCTTGATCGTTAAAACAGAGATGGCTTTTGTCTGGTTCTCACTATGTTGTGAGAAAGCCCAAAACAGCCCATGGGTAGAGACCACATGGAGAGGAAACTGATACCTCCAGCTGATAGGCAGTATCAACCACCAACATGCACTCAGCCTTTCAATCTTGGAGCTGAGGGCCCAGCTGCAAGTGGAGCAGAGGCAAACTGGGTCTCTTCTCTGTATATGTACAAATTCCAACCCACAGAAATCTGTGAGCATAATAAATGCTTGTTTTATACTACTAAGTTTTGGGGTAATCTGCTACACAGACATATATAACAAAACACTGAAACACTATATATTTCACTTGTTATATTTATTGTCTGTTTCCTTCCACCAGAATATAAACTCCACAAGGGGAGAGATTTTTACTTCTTTGGTTTAATATCAGGTGGTCAGTAACATTTTTTCATTAAATGGGACATGATTTTTACAATTTTCAAAATATCTGAACATACAAGTTTAAACTAACAGTAAAAAAAAAACCCCTGAAATTAATAATAAAGGAAGTTTTTCTGAATTACTTGTGAATTTCAACGATCTCTGACCAATTCTTTTAGAAACACCCCACTAAATATATACTGCTGGTCGTTATACTACTACTGTTTAGTTTTTATATGTGACTGGATGCCTAAAGGGACACAGTGATTAAACTTTTTACAGCTCACCTCACACTGGTTATTTAGCTTGGTAGATGTAATGTCCAACTGCTGGTATTGTTCCTTTAGCTTTGAAAATTCAGCTTCTAATCTTGTTTGTTCCAGTTTGGAATTATTTAGAAGACTTTTCAAGTTTTTATGGTCAGTTTGTAAAACTTCAGTCTCTTTTAAAAGCTGATTATATGTATGATTCAACCTATAATTAGAAATCATAATAGAAATAGAATCAGATTCTCTTAAAAGCTTTCATTGTCATTTACACAATGTGAAAATGCTATAAATCACATTCAGAAATACTTAGAATATAAAGAATTCTTTTGCCAGTTACTAAACTGATCAAGAATCAGTTTCTATTTTTAAAAACTAGATTTTTAAAAAATTAAGTACTTTTTCCCCTTGAAATAAAATCTTTCAGTATTTAAATATGTTGAAGATGTAAAGATATGCAAAATATTTAAAGGACAAAAGAGAAAATGACCAATCCAGTTTTGATTTCATAGATAATTTAAAGATTCTAAAATTCAACAAAAAAAATTCAAGAAAAATCACATCAAAAGAATTAATCAATCCAATATGGCAAATGATAGTCTATCAATCTGCTGTCAGATAACTGAGATGTTCAGGCTTAAATCAAATTTCAGTTACTGAGATTTCTGCAGTTGTAGCAAATTATCCATATATATGCAGTCCCTAATTATTGATAAATTTTTTTTTTTGGTAAAAGTCAAAGTATATCCTTTTCTTTTTCTTTCCACAATTAAACCTTCAGAACAAGGTCCACTGATCTCTAAGGGCAGTGATCAGCAAACTTTTTCTGTAAAGGGCCAGGGAGTAAACAAAATACCTCAGGCTTTGTGGGCCACATGCAGTCTACAGCAAAGCTCTTCCTTTCTGTTTTCCCAACCATTTAAAATGTAAAAATTGCTCTTAGTTTGGGGGCTGTACCGAAACAGTCTGCATGCTAGATCTGGCCTAATGAGCTGGCTGTAGTTTACCACCTTTTATCTTATGGCATTAAGATCGGAAGCTCACAAGAGGAGGAGGCAGCCAAACAAAACAAACGTTTGCTCAGGATGCACTTTTTCAGAACTTCTCATAATTTACTTCAACTCATTCCCTGAAGAAACTGAGTAGGCTTACAAGAATTATAAATAATAAAATAATACTTTTAAAAAATCAAGACTTGGTAAAAAAATAAAATGGCAAGACCAGAAATATAGAACAAGTATATGCTCCATAAACAGGTCGAATCCATGAGTGAACGTTTGCATGCTGTGAGTAACACCCAGTTAAACCTCACTGGGACACACAGACGGCCTCACGGTATATCAACACCTACGGAAATCAAAGATTTTCCCACGAATGCTTCATGGAGGATGGGATATAAGGAGATATACTACGTCCTTAAATCTCATCTCTATGGAAAATGCTAAACCGAACTCTTCAAGAGGGATTTTTACATTGTCCGTCAAAGCGAAGGACATCAACACCAAAACACAATTCAGTGAACACAGTTCTAAAAAGGCCATGACAACTTAGTCCATAGAAGAAACTTTCTTGGTTTGGCATTAAATAAGATTAAAACTTAGGTTATTTAGAGGAATGGATAAACTACAGTTCTTCAGACAAGTCTCCATAAATATCTTTTTTTGGTGAAACAGCTCTTTCAGATCTAGGTTTTTGTCTGAGCCATTCTATAACTAGCTGCATGATTTTGTTAGTAATTTACTTATTGCTGAGGTCTTTTTAAAAAATTCCAAGTTACAGATGCAAAGGGGTAGTATACACTTTGGATGTAATGAATGATAATACAAAACTAAAATACATAAATATTTATTACCTATCATTTTCACCACAAAGTTTCTTGTATTCTGCAGCTATAGTCTCATGGTTTTTGTTTTCAAGTAGCATTTTTTCCTGTTCTACTTTCAGTGTTTTTTCCAAATCTTCCAATTGTCCTTTCTGTTTTAGTAACTGATTATAACTGGAAAAAAAAGTTAGTTATTTGGTTTATAATTTATCCTTAGAGGGAAAAACATTTTGGAATGAAAAAACAAGAGTAATTTATTGTATGTCGGTGTCACAAAACATGTAAGTTTATATAAATTTCCTATATAATCTCTTAGATCTGTTTAATACAACATTTATTTTATTACCCAAAGGAAACTGGTTTTAAATTAAAAACACAGAAAATGTAATAAATTACCGATCTTCAAGATCTTTATGTTCCGCCTCAAGATTTTTGTGGGCAGACTTGAGAGTTCCATGTTTAGCAATGAGACATTCATACTCTGAAGCCTGCCGTTCATGAAGAAGTTCCAGTTTCTCATGATCTTTGATCAGAGAATCATAGAGAGATTTGAGGTCTTCTCGTTCTTTGACTACAGATTCATTTTCATTTTCTAAGGAAGACTGCTGGATTAGGAGTTGTGCATTCTGGTTCATAAGAGAAGTACTTTGGGAATTAAGTGTGGAATTTTCAACCTGTAAGAATGCGTACTGTTATCAGAAATAAGAAAAATAGCTTATGTTGTTCTTTTTTTTAAAAAATAAAAAAGATTGCATTAACCTTAAAAAGCTCTAAATAAATTAAAGCAGATATATGCACAGTATACTGATAAAATTTGGATTTTAGTGTTCCAAAGAACAAAGTTACCAATTAATTTGGATTTTTGGTAGGTGTTATGACATATATATATAATGTATACTATGAGATCTGTCATATATATGTTTTAGGTTGAATTATTTTAAATGAAGATGATTAGCAACTATTTGTATTCCACTCATGAAAAAGTATAGCATTTGAAATGCTAGTATCATTTTCTAGATGTTGAGAGTTAATAGAACTGAAAAATTACTTGTGAAAACACGACTGGAAATTTTCTTGAGTCTAAATTAAATTATCATTTGTAAAAGAGTCACAGAAAAAAATAACTTTTACAATCAGAGAGGGAGCTTGTTTTCTTCTGCTCCTTTAAGAGGTTTCCAGAGAGTTACACATCTCCCATCTGATCGCTGTATTTTGAAAAAACACTGGCAGTGTAAAGTACAAGATGGATCCTTTGAACTAAGGACAAGTCTGAAGACTAAATTTTAATGCTGGGTTCTTTTCCAATAACTTATGATAAGAAAGCTACAAAAATGAAACACGGAATGGTATGCTGCAACCACACTCTAAAGCAGGGGTGGGGAACGTCGGGCCCTCAGGTTGTACACAGCCTGCGAAATCATTTGGTCTGGCCCTGCCAAGGCCTCACTAAACAGAAGCAGTTCCAGCCAACACATTACGGGTGAGTTAATTAAAAGTTTGACCAAATATAGCAGGCTAATTTTTAAGTTCATAATTTTGAATGGCCAGAGAATGATGTCATAAATATCCCAATAGCCCCTGGCAGAAAAAAAGTTCCCCACTCCTGCTCTAAAGCAAAGGTTTCTACACAGTTAATTATAATAACCTTGTTTATGGTGAAAGGCCATAAAGTAAATAAAAATAAAATTATGTTTATTTTCTTTATATTTGCTGAGTGAACTTTTAATTACTATTTAGAGGCTCTGATATTTTAAAGATGCTGATGTCTCTAAGTTTGGTGCAGCACCAGATAAATATGCTTTAATTTATCTTCAATTAATTGTTACATTTGCGCACTAAAAAACAATGTTACCATGTCTAGTCATCCTTATTTTAATAGCAAAATTCAAGACTTTGGTTGCATATGCCCCAAATATTACATTACAACCTGAAGCTTGGCATTCTGTGTTTGAAGGGTAGTATTCTGCTCTTGTAATGACACTGTCTGCCTCTGAAGTGCAAGAATCTGAGCCTGCAAATTACTGTTCTGTGTCTCAAGTTGCTTCAGTTGCGTTTTCAGCGCTTGCTTCTCTGCTTGCAGTGTAGCATTCTTAATAAAGAAAACACACATATTAAAAATGAAAGCAATATCAAACTATTTCTGTTTGAAAGATACTGAAATTTTGTACAAGTACTTATTACCATTATAGTCCAAAACAATCGTAATCTTAAAAAAGAAAATATTTCCCCCATCCCAAATTGTAAACAGCTATTTAAGAAAAAGAAAGCAATAATCATAAAACCTTAATAGACTACTGTGTCTGTCTGCTTTATGATGTCTGAAAAATAAAATACTCCATTCTAAATACATTAACTAACACAAGAAACTAGAATGTGATTGTCAGTTGTACAGTTTTTACACTGCTCAAAAGTGCCCAGTGTATCCAAAATGAGCGGGGCTGTTTCTAGTCAATGGAGTGCTCCTTTTCTAATTGCCCAAAGGCAAATATAGATGGATAAGTGGTGGCCACAAGGATAGCAGCAAAAATTAAGTATTTTATAAACACAAATATTTGGAAGGGAAGTAAAAACAATCTTAACCATCTGTTTAAAAATTTTAGTGAATAGACTTAACAGATAGTACATATTTTCTTTAATAATTCTTTTCATGGTATAAAACACTCACTAAAACTCTATTTCATCTATAGGACTTCTAGAGCAAATCCAAACAAAACATACGATTTTCAATTTTTCCAGTACTTATGGCGATATTTCAGTTTTACAGTTAAACAGCTGATTACTGAGCAATCATAGATCTTTACATTTAATGTTTAGATATTAAAATGTTTGTCACGAATATTATATTTTCAAGATTGTTTCTAAATAACATTTCATAAATAAAAATAGCATCAAAAATTATAAACAAAGAATCTTCTAAAAAACCAAAATAAAAAACTTTAATATACCAAAAGGTTAGATTTGTATATAATTTCAACGTGCACAAAAAGTTACAACTGAATCCCAACAAATCACTTTTATCATATCTACATTTAGGAGGCAAAGATAACATTCACTTTACAGAGTTTCATGTTATATATACTACATGTCACTGTATAAAAGACAATTCAGTATTTAACCCACATATTATACCATAAAAATCAACGCTGAGGAAGCAAATTGCTTCAAGATAGCTTTTGATACTGGACTTCTTTTGTTCATTTGTTCAAATAAAAATGAAAAAAAGTGTATAATGAAAAAAAATATAGAATACTGATGTATTTCTATACCATCTTGACACACCAAAGAGGTAAATCATTTTTCACTTACATGTGTTAAGTACTATTGTAGCTCAGCTCTACAGAAACCAAAATATACAAGCTCTAGTGAGTGATCCTACATATAAGAAAAATTCCTGTAGTCTGTAAGGAATAGAAGAGATGGCTGAGAGTAGAAAGGCTATCTCAGAGCAGAAAAAATTTAAAATAGGAAAGTATGTGGTTAGCAAATATACAGGCTAATACACAAAAAATTACCCATCTGATATAGGGTTAGCCATCCAATGGCTAAAATATGACAACCAAGTGACATTTGTTCCCAATGGAAATTTATAAAGGAAGTCAACGGGAAAGAGATTTAGCTTACAGAACTTTGTATGCCAGCCAAATTGTCTGGCATGTAATTATTAATCTAAATGACAGAGGTACAGCCTGGCCAGGCATGGCTCAGCGGCATGAGCGTTGACCTAGGATGCAGGCGATCGGGGTTTGATTCCCGGTCAGGGCACATGCCCAGGCTGCGGGCTAGGCAGCTGATCAATGACTCTCTCATCATCTCTCTCTCTCTCCCTCCCTCTCCTTTCCTCTCTCTGAAATCAATAAAGATATATTTAAAAAATAAAAATAAATAAATGACAGAGGTACATATATATATCACTGAATATTTAAAAATAGGTATTCATACATAGCCTGTAAATATAGGAAAGACATAAAATCGATTGCTAATAATTTAAAATGTGCAAATTAAAATATTATTTCCTATCACTTTAACAAAAATTAAAAGGCTGATAATACCTAATGTTAATCTGGAAAAAATAGGTCCTCTATTAGCGGGACTGAAAATTGATGTGATTTTTGAAAGGCTAATACGGTATAAATGAAAATTACACAAACACATTCTGATATGTATGTATGTATGTGTGTGTGTGTACACACACCCCTTTGGCCTAGCAATTCCACTGTCAGAAATTTACCATCTTATGAACATGTTTATACATAGATTTTCATTGTAGCAAAATCCAAAGATAATCCAAATGTCCACTGATGTGGAACTTATTTAAATAAATTATGCTAACATCCACACTATGGAATAATATGTAGTCATTAAACAAAATGAGATAGATTTGCATCTTTTAAAATAGATCTCCGCCCGGTCGGGAGCGGCTCAGCCGTTGAGCGTCAACCTGGGATCCAGGCGATCAGGATTCGATTCCCAGTCAAGGCACATGCCCAGGTTGTGGGCTTGATCAATGACTCTATCATTGATGTTTCTATCTCTTTCTCTCCCTCTCCTTTCCTCTCTCTGAAATCAATAAAGATATATTTTTAAAAAATAAAAAAAAATAAAACAGAGAGATCTCCAAGATAACATAATTGAAAAATGTAAATTAGAATATTGTATAGTATGATTCTACCAGGTATAAATTTGTAAAAGAAATACACTTCTATACATAGATAAATCACAAACATTTTTCTGGGAAAGATGTTTATAGTAATTATTTTTGGATGAGAAAGTAGGACTCAATGGTGTAAGTGATTAATCTTTGAATTTATGGCTTAAAGCATTTAATGTTATATTTAAAAAACAATTAACAACCACAACTATTTTACTTGTTAGCATCCAAGTTCCTAAAGCTTTTCATCTTTGTAGGATGCTTGTTGAATTTAATTATTGTTTATTGTCAAACATTTACTGGACTCATTCAGCAAATATTTACTAAGTGTCTGCTATCTACCAGGCATTATTCTACATACTGAGGGCACAGTGGTGAAAAAGGAAGACAAGGTACCTGCTTTCAAGGAGCTTTTTTTCAATAAACAAAGGATCAATGAATTAAAAAATGTAATTTCGTAAGTGAAAAGTGCTATGAAGAAGCTAAATAAGGCAGTGGTGTGATAGTGAAGAAGGGTTTAGGCTAGGGGTCACTTCTTTACTGAGGAAAGGGGTCAGGGAAGACATCTTACAAGAGACATGCGACATGAGACATGAATTCTGAGGAAGCCAGCCAGTGTTCCCAGTAGGGGAGGCAAACAGAAAGGCCTGGGGTAGGAACAAGCAGAAAAATGCCACTATGACTAGAACTAATTTAGTTATTGTGTGCCAGGCACTGTTTTACATTTCCAGATACTAAAAGATACTATTATACCCAGATTAATAAACAGAGTGGGTAGAAGAGTGGTATGGTATGTGGTCAGGTGGGGCAATGTCAGGAAGGATCTTACAGGACACAGCAAAGAATCTGGATTTTACTCCAATTAAAACGGGAAGCTACTGAAGATTTTAAGTACAAAAGTGACATGATTTTGATTATGTTTTAAAAAATAATTTTGACTACTGCATTGAGAATGGGTTAGATTGGGCCAGGAATGGAAGAGGCCAGGACAGTTAGGAGGATATTTTAATAGTCCAGATAAGAGATGATGGGCTAGTGAGGTAGCATCAAAGATGGAGAGAAGTAAATGGGTTTGGGTTAATTTTCAAGATAGAGTTGACAAAGGTTGCAGATGGACCCATGTGAGGGTGATGAAGAAACGTAAATTATAAGTTCTTCAGTCTTTACTGAGTTATAGATTATTTCTAAAAATCGTTATCCCTACTAAAAATTTAAAAATACTTACATTTCTTTCTACTTCAATTAATCTGTCTTTAACTTTCAGAAGCTCTCTGGTTGTTTCTTGACTTTCTCGCTCCCATTTGCTATCTTCACCAGAAGCTGAAGGAGGGCTCTGTACCATCCTTTCCTCATCTTGTCTCTGTTTAAGGGCTTCATAATTCTTTTTCACCTAAAATTGTATTTAAAATATTTAATGGGGAAAAAAGTCACCCCAGTTCTATTTCTTACAGTTAATTTGACTCTGTACTGGTCTGGTAAATGTAAGAAGCACTTTATTTAAAAATATGATAAATAATATGTAGTTTTCATTATTAGCATAATCACAATTTATGCTTTGTAAAATACAAATCCTTTCCTCTTAGAAATATTAAATATACCCTTCTTATGTGCCATGCTCCTACAATATATTCTGTAATTTCATATATTATTGTTTATAATGAAAATGTTGCTGAAGACCAAGGAGTGTTGCTAAATACTAAGAACTGTTTTTAGAGCTACATCGATAGCTGATTTAGAGATTTCAGAGATCCCCATGTAAAGAACAAATAAAGATTTAGCACATGTAATAATTCCTCTTAAAAAGAAATCTAAATTAAAATTGAGGAAGTATCTATATATGTCTGCTCTTTTATGAAGATATGTTGCCCAGAATGAGCTGTGTTAAATAAATTAACAATTTCTTTATTCAGACCTTGATCTATCACGTATAATGATAAAGAGATTTTATAACTTATTTTATAAAGAGTGAGCAATCCAAGGTTTTCTGGTATGACCAAATCCTACTTTAAGAGAGCCAACTCAAAACTAACATCATGGTCCTCTTACATTACCAAATTGCTGATTAACTTAATAGCTCTCTTCAATTTGAATGATGATTGTTATACTTGTCCTGAATCACCAGTTAATCCTAGGAGACATTTATCATAAATTTCTAAACCCAAACTTTCTATTAAGGCAAGGACAAACATTTAAAATAATTCAACATTTAATGTAAACCTTAAGAAAGCTTATAACTCAACGATAAAATTTGTTACTATTGAGTTAGAAAATAATGATGTGAGACTAAAGGAAAAAGATGCCAAGATAGAATGTAATTTAAAGGTTGGCAAGTGATCTAACAAGTGTTCTGGGATCCTGATCTTTCCAGGTTTTTCCCCCCCTTACTTTTAACACCCTAATAACATACAAGGGTGACATCATTTCCGGTCTCCCATTTTATAATAATTTCCCACAGGGTCTTTTCCCCCTCTAGGCTTAGAAAGGTTATAGACACATGATATTATTAAGAAGAACCGGGAATAAAACTCAGTGCTTCTTATTTTTAGACCACTGTTCTAACAACTAAGTTTCAAAAATAGTTCCTTTACCTTATGTATCATTAATCACAATCTCTAATTTATGTTCACACAGAAAATAAAATATCATTTTTCATTAAGATTTCTTGGAGGCAGCACATAGGTAGGTATTGCCTTTTTATCTAATCCATTAATCTCTTTTACCTGGGGTTTTAGAACTTTTATATTTAATGTGATTATTGATATGGTTTGATTTAAACTTGCCATCTTGCTATTTGTTTTCTATTTGCCTAATCTGTACTTTGCTCCACCTTTTTTATTTTTCTGCCTTCTTTTGGATTTTTTATAATTCTATTTTATTTCTTTTGCTGGCATAGCAGCCATACCTCTTTGTCATGCTACTTTAGTCATTACTTTAGGCCTCATACTATTCACATTTAACTTCCATAGTCTATCTTCAAGTTATATACCTCTTCGTGTATAGTGCTAAAAGTTAGAACAGTATAATTCCAGCTGAATACATGTTCTTGGCAGGAAGCTAGTCCAATAGTAGTTATGCCAAAATGGCTGCAAGTAAAAGATAATGATGGAATTTTAAATCTCTACCTTTTAGGATAGAAATACGTATATACCAACCCATATCCAAACCCACTTACTTTCTAGCTGAGTAGCTTCATGAGGTGACTTTACTTGTAATGTAGTTATTACAATGTAGCTCAATGGGGTAAAACATTTTCAGGAAATAAAGGTTAATGAAATCTGGCACCAAATTTTACCTTATTTTTTGGATAATCCTTTCCAATAACTAAACAAAGTTCTAGAATTTCTTCTGTAACAATACTTGTTCCACATTAATGTCTGAGACAAATACCAGCAATGATAGTAAGAGCAAATGGGGAACAAAACCTTTTTCCTTTCTGCATGAGAAATTCATCTTTCGTTAAGTTTCTCTAGAAACCTGATAAAACTAGAATGTTCTATGTTACCAGGCAGGTTTGCTTATGGGAAATATGACCCCTGATTGGTAAATTGCATTTGGACTGAGAGAACTATAAATACCAAATAGGAAGCCATATCTCTGAACTTCTCTGAGTGCAGCAACTCTTAAAATTGGTAATATCTATTGTGGAGATCTTAAAGCTATACCTCTGAAGTTGTTGCAAGAGATGACTGCTGTGGAGCATAAAGTCTTAAAGCCAGGGCAGCTCCAACACACACCCAATATGAATCTCATTTGCACTTAATTGTCATCGGGTGGGAAGATGTTTCTCAGACAACCATGTGAGAAACACCCGACAGTGCCCTGCTATCTACTTGTATTTCCTATAGTGTTCTGAATGAAATGGTTTTAAATGTGGCCTATAGTAATCTTGTAAGTTTGAAGACTAAGTGGACTATAAAACCATTCCTGGGAGCACTTTTCTTCCAGTCTTGTATTATATTAACCCAATATAGGGCAAGTCCCTTCATTTTCAATTTATTCATGTAGGAAAAACAGACAACTTGCCTTCACCTTGTTTAATTCACTGAATAATTCTAAATATCACAAGAAAATAGATCTAGAAAAAACACCCTCAAATTTATGAAATCATGTGCTTTTAATACCACATATGATTTCCCTCTACTTGGTAATCTCACACCCATATGTTTCCTATCAAACTTTTACCTGGATTCTCAATAGGAAAAGGGTGTCAAAGTGAAGTGTCAGTATCACACTGAGAGCTTTGACCCACGAAATAAGCCTGCCTTTTCCCCACCCCACTCCCACAATTCTGATATGTTCCTAACAGCATCGGGGACATACACACATGAAACAGGACTGAGTAAATTACAGCGTATAGACAAAATACAGTTTGTCATAAACTACACAGCAAAGATCTATTTAAGAACACTCTCAATTTTAAGAAAAAACACACAAAATATTAATAAAATATTACATTTTTATTTTGTACTTCACAATTTTCCTTCCAAATATTTAACAATTAAAATCCTTTCCAAGGGAATTACTTACTGTTTTAAGTTCTTGGCGCAATTGCTGGTTATAATTTGTGGATTCCTCTAATCGAGCTTCTAAAGTAGCAATTTTTTCCTCTTTTATTTCAAGGGACTTCTTTAGAGTGGATTCTAATTTTGATTCCAAAAGTTTGTACCTACTATCCAAGTATAAAAATAGTAAAAGTTTGTTATGGGAGGTCAAGAAATTATTTTTAAAGATAATTTATGACCACAGATACTAACGCCATAAACAGACCTTAAAATTCTTTAAAGTAGCAAATTAAATTATCCTCCTCTTACTGCTTCAGTCTCCCCCTTTTAAACTATTCCTGGTAATGAAGAAATAAAAATCACTAAGTAAACAGAGCTTCAGATTACAGCCTAAGTTGTCAAAAGCAAAAATTAATGCTCAAAAAAGGCATTATATTTCTTTTAGTTTTATAAAAACAGAATCTATAGGAAGTGAAGGATTACATTATCAAACATTTGTGTATACTATTAAGTGAAAAGCATTTATACAAGAACATATTAATAGTTAAGACTTGAAAATCACCGAAGACTTTGTCTTCAGGGTCTAAAGTACCTGCAGAATAGTCTAAAAAGAGAGTGATATACTAAAGACACAAGACACTGGTGACAGAGTGAGAAGAGGCAGATAGATATGAATGTCAGTATTTTAGTTATCTTTTTGAACAATGTGTTCATGAATAATTATATTATTCTTAACTTAGTTTTTGTTTTGATGCTATTCAGTATGTATACTAAAAGACAGTCAACTAAATTAGTCCTTGACTATCTGTTTAACTCAAAAATAGTTTTTTCTCGTTAAATACCTGTATAATTAATTCAATTATGGCTGCTTGGATTGATTGCTAGAATAAATGCCTCAAATTACCTCTATTTGTTATTATAGAACAACCTTTAAAGTATCAACCTGTTCTATTAACTTTAAGTTTCTCAAGATTAGATAAACAAATCCCATATAATCAGCATTATTTTTTTCTACATACATTTATTTGATATAGAATAAAAATATTTAATAGAAGTAATAGTGGGTAAATGATATAAATTAACTAATTACAAAAATGCCAATGCATTAAAATCTAGCCTACATAAATCAATATTCTTAATATATACTTCTAGCTGGAATCATATGGCTGACTAGATGCTAAATAGTAGATTACTTGAAAGTCTGATAAACTGTTTTATAGACTGTAATTACCATGAATAGAAATTTTCTTTCAAACTGGTCATTCTGAAAATTAAATGATATATGTTAATTTTTTTATTCAATTTGTCAAGCCTTAGTTTTCTACCTTATTTTTACATCTTAATTGCTTCTTAATATATTTTGCTTTGTTTCATATTTTTCTTCCATTTCTCTTTAAGTCCACATTTTGGCACACAAAAATAAATGAAAAAAATTGAGGCATTTAAGCACATGATTCAAATAAAAAATAATTTGCTTAAATTGACTGCATATTTCAGCAGAGAGGGGTTTGTCTCACTCTATTTTCACAGGCAATTACAGCCTTGGCTCTTCTACTACCTAAGTGGCATCCTGTTTTCCTATTATGAAACTGTATTCATATAACATTTTAGCATTTTTTTCTTAGAGCAATATTAGGCTGTCTTTCTCTGATGTTTTTACTTTTTAAAAAAATGTTTTTATTGATTTTAGAGAGAGAGAGAGAGGAAGGAAGAGAGGGAAACATTGATGAGAGAGAACCATTGATTGGCTGCCACCTGCTGGGGTTGAGCCCAAAACCCAGGCACATGCCCTGACTGGGAATCAAACTGGTGACCTCTTGGTGTGTGGGTTAATGCTCAACCAACTGAGCCACACTAGCCAGGGCACTTTTTTTTTCCTATAGAACTTTCTCTAAGGGAAGAAAGGAACCAGAAACAGTAAAATAAAATACATAAATGTATTCCTAGTATAGGAAAGAACCAATATTTGAGCAAAAACAAAAAATAATTTCAACTGTTTGGGAAATAAACTTAATACTCACCTGTCATCAGTACTTTGCTCATCATGTAAGAGTCGCTCTTTATTCAACCCTATCTTCTCAAGCTCATGGGTTAATTTTTCAAGATCATTATTCATTTGTTGAGTTTTCAATTTTTCACTCACCAAATCCTTATTTTAAAAAGAATGCAAAACTCACAAAAGTGTCAAGAACATAACATCTAAGAAATTCAGCCAAGATTCTAACTACCACCATCCATGAATACATGTAATTCCAAGTAGGAAAGGCAGAAATGCTGTTGAACTTTTCCTCACGTAGTCCAAACAGAATAGTTGTCCTTTTCTGGCTAATACTTCTTTTTATCCCTTTAGTGTCTAAAACTAAAAGGAGAAACTACCGACTCTCTACCTTATATTTGAGAGCTGTGGGAAAAACACACATATCCATTCACTGTTCAATAATAAGCTAGAACTTTCGTGCGTGTTTCTTCCTATATACATATTTCTCCCACAGGCCTCTCTCCCCCAGTGGAAGAGGCTATGGACCTGAAGAACTAGGGAGAATTCTGAGAGGAGCAGGCACAAAGAACCTGTTATTCCTGACTGTAAGACTGTAGAACAGAAAGAAAAAAATGAATGGCTCATAATGGTCCCCCTCAATGCCTCTTTAGCAGAAATGCAGATTTCCCAATGTGACTTACTACCAGGATGCTAACGAAGATACTTCTGAATTGAACTTAAAGGGCTATCATATATAGTATAGCATAGGAATAGCAAAAAAGAGCCAAGCACATTATCTCCTGATCTACACCAACCATGCTTCATAAGACCTGTTGCCAGCCTACTCTTATAAATTTCAAACTTCTTCTCAACACATAAAACCAAGCAACTACCAAATTGTTCAATGTTGGCCTTTAAGTTCAACCTGATTTGCATTTTCCAGCTTAGAGGTCAAAATTCCTGGGGCTTTGGTGTCTGAAAGATCTTGATCTGAATCTAGCAATCCAACTTTGCCATTTATTAACTCTGTCAATCCTGAGTAAATTACTTAATGTCTCTGAACCTGTTTTTCAATCCAATGGAGATAATACCTATAAAGAATTGGTCATAAAATTATATAAAAATATGTAAATACAACTTATGAGGTCCTTAGTCTAGTACTTGGCACACAGTTAGAATTTGATAAAGACTAGCTTATCATGCTTCCCACTATAGTTAGCATCCAGGAAGAGTCTTGGTCAAATATTTTAACATTTTGAAGTAAAATTATAATGTAACAGGCCAGATGTATATGGAAACTTTATTAGTAAAGTATCTTAAAAATACAATTTACATGTACTTATTAGTTTAACAAAAGTACGAAACTTGAAAACTAGTTCTAATTTTAAACTGTTTCTAGTTCTAATTCTAAAATTCTACGTTAGAGCCAGAAGCAGATGATGCAAATTACTGATGGGTGCCAATAAAACTTAAAGCAGCCTTGAGTTAAAACTATAAAAAATATTGCCTTAAACTTTATACTCACCTCCCGTAATGTAACCAAAGTTTTTATATCAATAGTTGCTCTTTTTACAAGCTCCTTATTTTCCTTCTCTAATTCTTTCAGACGAGTGCAAGATTCTTTATAAATACCAATCTCTTTGAAGAGAGCTTTGTTTTCTTTCTCCAGATTTCCAATTTTCACATTATTTTCCTCTAGCGTGGTATCTTTAATTTCCGCTTGCTGTCGGAGTCTCTTATTTTCCTTCTCCAGTTGCTTCTTATCCTTTTCCAGTTGACAAGTCTCCTGCTCCAGTGATTTATTTTCTTTTTCTAGCTGTTCTAGTCTTTTGCTAGATATTTTTAACTCTTCTAGGTTTTTCTGCAATGTCTGATTTTCCATTTCCAAGTCTTGTAGTTCGCTCTCTAACTGCTGAATTTTTTTATTGCTGTTCTCCAGAGCCTTCTGCAGCCTTTGGTTTTCTGTATCTAAGCCCTGGTAGCTAACTTCTAAGCGTTCTGTTTTCTTGAAAGATGCTTTCATAAGCTCTAAGCCCTTCTTAAGCTGCTCTTTTTCACTTTCCAGTTCTTTATTTTCCAGTTGTAGCTGAGCCATTTTCATGCTTGCACACTTCAAAGATTCCACGTTCCTTCGCAGTTCTAAGTTTTCCTCATCAAGTTGGGAATTCTCTTTCTCTAGGGATTCTAACTGAAAAGTAAGGTTTTTAAAGCTATCTAATCTTTTTTTAAATTTCCTATTTTCTCTTTCTAGCTCTGAATTTTCTTGTTCTAAGGCCTCAATTTTTTCACAAGTAATTTTTAAATTGGTTATCTTTTTCTGTAACAATTCATTTTCCTTTTCGAGATGATGCAACTCGTTTTCAAGTTCTTCTGCTCGTTCTCCTTTTTCTTTATAATGTTCCAATTCTTTTCTAATTTGTCTTTTTTCAAATTCAATCTTGCTTAGCTTGCTACTTGTTTCTTTGATAGATTCATGGAGAATTTTATTTTCCTTTTCAATGTCTTTCACCCTTGCTTCAGCACTTATCTGGGAGCGCTGCCTTAAGGAAGACACAGTTTGATTCAGATGTTCATTTTCCTGTTCCAATATTTTAATCTAATTTAAAAAATAAAGGAGAAAATTAGAAACTTAATTGAGCAAGAACTAAATACTTTCTATTTTATTATTTTTAATTTATTTTTTATATGTATTTTTTATTGATTTCAGAGAGAGAGAGAGAAGCATCGATGATGAGAGAGAGTCATTGATTGGCTCCCTCCTACACACCACCTACTTGACACTGAGCCTGCAACCCACGCATGTGCCCTGACTGACAATCGAACTGTGATCTCCTGGTTCAAGGGTCGACACTCAACCACTGAGCAACACCAGCTGGGCAAGAACTAAATATTTTAAATTATTCCCTTCTAAAAACTAACAGGGAACTCAGAACATAAAAGGGTGCTATCATGCCTATCTTTCTTACTGAGAAAGCACTGTTAATGTGTACTGCCAGGTCATGAAAGTTCATGTCTTTACGGAGTTCATAATATAAAGGAATGGTTAAGAAAGGTGTCTTTAATATCAATAAAAATAATCTTCAGATTATTTAACTGCCTGTTTCAAATTCAAATATGAGTATCAGTGAACCATGCACACACATCTCCTTGAGGATATAAGTTTTTACTTCCACAAATAAATTTTGCAATGCCTATACAGAAGGGTCCTCAGTAAATATTTGCTGTATCATATATATATACAAATATATATATATGTATATATGTGTGTGTGTGTGTATGTGTCTGTATTCATTCCACAAAAGAATGCTAACTTGGAAACATCAAAATAACAAAAAACCCTGGTACATTTGAAAACTAATCCATTCAATTCATGGCATGGCTTAATATAGTATTTCTCAAATTTTAGTGCGTTAAACAAGTTCCTGAGAACCTGGCAAAGTACAGATTCATGCCTAGCTCTAGAATTTTCGTTCTGTAGCTCTACAGAAATCTGTATTTTTATAGGTGGCCTGAGGACTATACCTAGATAATATAAAACAAATCCTTTTACATCTGAAAAATAAATAGAAAATTTAAAATAGCAAGTCAATCTATCCAGTTCTGTTTCCTCAAGCATAAAAAGAGAATAATCACTAAATACTTGAAAATAAATTTGAAAAGCATCCAAGATGGTTCTTGCCACCACTTTTCCCCTTTTTAGTGGGGCCAGAGTACAGTGGCATTTCTCCCCAACTCCACTCCACAGCCATTTCCCACAGATACTTGAAAGCACATGCTCTGCAAAATTTTATACAAGATAATTAATCATATTGGCAATTTTAAAAATTCTGATCTTTCCCTTTAACTTTCCTAAAATACATGGCATAGAAAGGGACATTAAAATCTAAAAAATTCTAAAATATTTCCCTTTAATGTTATATGAACATTTTATTTGCATAAAGTAACTTTTGTAAATCAACTTTAAAATACAATGCTTAATAAGAAACTTATGAACCTGTCTCTCTGAATTTTCTCGAAGTGTTTCAATTGTTTTTTCAAGCTGAGCCTTCTCCTTCATTAGATCCTTGCTTAAATTCTGACAATTTTGAAGACTTTGCTTTTCTTGAACAATCTCATTTTCAAGAATTTCAACCTGGAGAAAATTAAATCACAAAACAATATATCATTAAGTATTTTAAAACAGTGGGAACATGTCAAAAGATAATTGCTGAATTAAAGATAAAATACAATTTTAATATCCAAATGGTGATATTTAAGAATTTAGTAGAGAAATTCAACTAATAGTACATGCTAATTTTAGCAGCTATATAAAGGCAAATACCTACTTTAAATAGAAAGACAATTCAAGTGAATATATGATAATTATGTGCTATATGAAGACTGTACAAGTCTTATGAAAGGCTCTGTTGGCTCGAGTAAAATTATAAAGTAAAATTTTATAGTCAAGGACTTCCGGTGTACAAGAAGGAAGAGGAGACTATAAAATGCAGGAAGGAAAAGATGAGAGAAGGTGCTACAAGTTTAATGAGGAAACAAAAAGGGACTTGGTTTGAAATAAAAAGGAGGAAAAAGGAGAAAAGTACTGGAGACAAACTAGATGAACAAAACTCCAACAAATATTTATATTCTGGGTTAAAATTTATTTTCATTTACACATTTTAAATATATAATAAAGCATGTGGTTAATAAGTATTAAGTATGAAAAAGCAAATTTAAGTTCAAAATATGCTATAATTGATTTCCCCATTATTATAGAACATATTCATCAAACTAGGTAATTTAAAAACATAAAGAAAAGATTTAGCTATATAAAATATTCCACTTCAAGTTTAAATATTACTTAAATCTTTATATCAATAGTGAAGAACTCTAGGAATTTTAATAGTCTATATAAAGCAAGTCGAATTTTTCTTTTTAACATCAATTGAAGATAACCATACATGGAAAATAATCTTCTATTAGTACCTCAAAAGCATCAAGTCACAGATCATATCTAGTAATTCAATTCAGCATTAATTTACATGTTTAGGAAGCTTTTAGTTATTAATAACTAATTAACCTGGTTCTCCCATTATAGATTAAAATATATAGATAACAGTTATTTAAGTATTTGTTATTTTACATTAGTGAAATTCAAGTGAAACATTTAGTTTATAAAAGATATCCTTTATCCAATGAATTTATTGAAAATTGCTAGAATTTCACTAAGAATTTACTCATTAGACTTTAATGCTAATATCAAAATCAAATTATAATTTACAGATCCAATTATAATGCCAACCAAAAAAAACTGTTCCAAGGTCTAAATGGCCACTTCTGCTTTAACAGTACATTGATTGTCAAATGCTTGTTAAGATTATTTGGTTAATAGACTAAAGATGATACAAAAATGTTTTAAAAGAGTAAAAATCTTGCAAAAAAATCAAGGAGTCTTTTGCATTATCTAAGGCTGTGGTCCATCAAAGCAGGGTTCCAAAAGAGCAGGATGAGCATCACCTAGGAACTTCTTAGAAGTGAGGATTCTTAGTCCCCACACCAAACCTACCAGGAAAACAAACTCTAGGCATGGGGCTCAGCAATCTGTGAATCTGTGTTTTAACAAGTCCTACAGGTGATTCTGATGCATACTATAGTTCAAAAACCACTGGTCTAAAGGTTAGGGAGATTTTCATAACGAAGTCTAGAAACACAGAATCTATCAAAGGAAAAACTAGACATAACTGGGAGTCAAGAGCATTTTGTCATTGCTGAAAGCAAGGAAGCTCCTAGTGCTAAAGCTGTGCCCTAAGGACTCAGGAAGCAGCTTCACTGGGACAATAAGGAATATAAGTGTGGTGGATTGAAACACTTTAAATATTCTTAAATCCATGAGCTCATAATGACACTAAAACAACAAACTCACTCAATTATCTCAAGCGGATATGAGAAAACCAACACATTATCAGGAAACTGGTAAATAAAGGAATAGGATCAAACATTCACCCTGCTTTTCCCTAAGAGCTGTTCATCAGAATAACCTAGGGTGTTTTCTTTAAACCAGTAGTTGTTAAAACAAAGTGTTTCTTTGTTTTGAGAAACAAAGCTACCACATTAAGAAGGGATGGTATTAATAGAAAATCAAGATTTTGCAATCTTTGATTAATTAAGGGATCCAAGCAAATGATTATCCATAACATCAAAAAAAGACAGTCAACCAGACACGTGCCTCCTGACAGAAATGTTTATGCACTCTTTATGAATACTCTTACTAGAAACTCAATTTGAACCTGATTAAGCCCACAGTAAAGCAGTCAACAAAGGGGACAAAAAAACTTGTTAAGTGACACAAAAAGAATGCAATCAGCAAAATCTAAATTGTGGGGAAACTCTCTGTTAGACAAATAACGTGGTTTCTTCAGCAGAAAAACTGCTAAAAAAAAAAGAGTAAACCTATAGACTAAAAAAGACTTAAAAGACATCAATTGATTAAACATACTGATTTTATTTGAATTCAGATTTGAACAAAATATACAAAAAAATAAACATAATAGAACTGAATTAAAATGTTGACTAAAAATTATTAATTTTTAAAGTGTGATAATGTCACTGTCTTGTTCTTTTAAAAAACTCCTTAATTTTTAGAGCTATGTTACATACTCAGGTATTTGTTCTTGAAATGATACCATATCTAGGATTTACCTCAAAATCATCTAGTGGTTGTGGGGAGAGTAGGCAGAGGTAGATATAAGACTGACTGTAAGTTAACAATTGTTGAAGCTTAATAATGAATTATGTTTGTTAAAAGTATCCATAGTAAGTTAAAATAAAAAAGGGCACATTAAAAACTAGAAAATAAATGTTTACTACAGTGCTGTTTATTTATACTTTTACATACATTTTTTAACATCAAACAATTTTTATTTACCTTTTTACTTAGTCTTTGATTTTCTTTTTCAATTTTCAGGATTTTGGAGGTGTTACCTTCTGCAGAATCCATAGTACTCCGAAGCTCTTCTACAGTTTTTGTCAAACTCTGGTTTTCCATCTCCAACTTCAGTAACCTACTTGATGTCAACTCACTCACCTCATGGCCCAAAGATTTCTGTGGTGCTATAATATTGAAAAATATGTCATTGTAAAACTATGTTTACTCTTTACTATTTAAAATATTGGTTGTATATGCAGTACATCACCTGGTCCTTAACTATATAAAAATTTCATAAAGTTATACAAGATAGACACAATGGAAAAAACAGAGATAAAACACAGGTAAATCTTAAATTTTGCCTGGAATGCATCCATAAGTATTCTAGTCAGAAAAAAAGTACAAAATTTAGACTAAAGAGACTAGAGTTCCAGTTCTAGTTCCATGAGAAATTAACTACTTGACAATACCAAGCCACTTTAACCCCAGTGAGTCTTGGATTACTTGTATATAGTTATATCCATGTGTATCTCATAGTCATGTGTGGCTCAAATAAGTATAAAGCATATTCTATGCCACGCTTTCAAAAATTAAAGAAAGCCAGTTTGAGAGGAAAAAATCCTAATCTGATTCTGAGAAAGGCAAGACAGTATACACTGGTCACCTTGAAAGAGTCTTTCTCTAAAGAATCCCTGCTAAACTAAGTGTAAAGAGCAACATCTACTCCATTTTGTCAAGGAAAATCATCTTTCTAAGTAGATTACAGTTTCTAGTTCTATAAATGATGTTCTCCAGTAAGCCAAAAATAATTATTTTTATAACCTTATAGCAGACTCAGGGAATATTTTTATGACAAAAATATTAGGACTTACAAATGAAATATAAGGCCTAGAATTTATTTTGAAATCCTAGATTTTAGGAAGGGAAATGGATAAAAGTATGGGAGGGCATTTCTACGTCTGTCAACTTTTGTGTATGTTTGAATTTCTCCATCATAGAAAAGTAAATACATACATACACACACATACATCTTCACAAGCATACATTCTTCACAAAATTAGGTATGGCAAAACATCCTGCAGATTTTAAGTAAAGAAAGCCTCAATTCTTATTTCCAGCTTTTGTTCTAGTCAGCATATTGTTAATCTTTTATTAAAAGCTGGTATACTACTCACTGACTTTTAAAATTCCATTAGTTGTCCAAGTCTTCTTCAGTAAAATTCTAGTTCATGGTTTGTAGTTATGCATTTCAATTAACGAGATTAGGCTAAAATACATGATATACCCCAATAATAGTTTGAATACTTCAAAGAAGCTTCAAGTCAGACTATGAAGAATTAAAAAGGATGCTTACAACACATTTTTACCAACATAAAGAATGCCTATATTATAATCTTAGGTGCAAAAAGGAACCTGAATTGTGTATATGCATTAATCTGGTGTCTAAAACACCTATGTATGTGTGTAGAAAAGTTCTAGAAGCAAGCTTTTTGAAATGTGAAAAGTATTTAAGAGATTATTAGTGACTTTGATTTCTTCTTTTATATTTTTCCACACTTTTGCAAATTTTCTGGGAAGAAAATCCCTTGTATATTTAAAAGAGAAACAAACAAAACAGCACCACATTAAAACAAATATTCAAGTATAATGTCTCCAGCTAAGAACAACTGCAAAACAACTGTGATGTACTGATCATCATCCTCATTACACTTAACATTCAAATCCATACTATATACCAGGCACATTTTCTTAAGTATTAAGAAATTCAATCCTCACAACAACCCTACAAAGTTCTTACTATTATTGTCTTCCCTTAACAGACAATGAAACTTATAACAGTGTAATTTTAACTACTTTAGAAGTAGAAAACATTTGAGTGTGAACTGCTTTCTTTGTAACTCAATTCACAAGAAATAAAATTTAAAAAGTTCCACAAATATTTTAAGTAATAGATCTCAGCAAGCTCACCGCTGAATATCATCACTTACTTTGTAGGGAATTTAAATAGGGTCCTAGAATTTGGAATTAGGTTCTCAAGTGTAAAACTAGAAAAAGCCTAATGGTAATAAATATGAGTCATGTGTAGAAGTAATTATTCTGCAAGAGCCAGACCATAAACTGTCTTCAGACCTTACGTCTACCACACCACTAATCCTCAGGGCCTGGTATAGTACTTTAAACATGGTAGGTACTTAATAAATATCTGCTGAAGGAAGGAAAGTAGGTAGAATCATCTAATAGTGAGTAGCTGAGGAATTATGGAACCTAATTTAGACAAATGTGGCCTGAGTTTAATTTCAATAAAGTATATCAGTATTCGCACAATCATGGCTATAACCCAAACAAGTGTATGTATAATGCCCAGTTTTAAGACAGAGGACAAGTCAATAGTGGAGCTTAAGGAAAAAAGAGCCAAGAGTTAAAAATTTATCTGGAGTGAAGGGGATGTCTTTCATTATCTCTAGGTTATATAACTGGGGCTGGACTGATTGGTAGGTATCCTAAAATGGAGATTACATACAGAAAGTAGCCATGAAGACCCTTATTTATTTCCTTCTAGCTATACATTTACCTAAAACTCTTCCCACTACATTCTGACTTCCTATTTAGGTTTGATTATAGTCAAAAAATATGTTGACCAGCTAATACGACTTTTCTATTCTATTTAGTAGATGGCTATATTTCTATTTAGTAAATGGCTATTAATTTACTATTAATAAACTGGTATTCTAGTTTCTTGTGATACTAACATAAAACAATGCCTAAACAACAGATCAAATCTGTTATAGCACTCAAAAAAGTTTAGTTGTAAGACATGCAAGATAATCAGATCTAGGAATGTGGAAATAATATACTACTCTGTGAAATCATATCTAGGGACAGCTGGCCTTCTGAGAGATCTCCAGCTGGGGAAAATAACTGCAATAAAATGTCCAGAAATGTAAGCATAAATACAACTTTATTTATTCACCAATCCATTTAAGTAAAATAATACTGGGAATACCTTCGGAAAGTTCACTAGTTCTGGATATTTGTTCCAACTCCCAGCCAAGGTGTAATGATTCATCCATACTTTGTTTCTGTGCCATTTCCAAAGTCATATTTTCTTCCATTAATTCTTCAATCTTTTTTCTATCCATATCACGTTCCTTTTTTATTGGCAGGCAGTAGGGAGAGAAAAGAAAGCTAAGAAACAGTACAATTTCAAGCTAATATTTTATTACTTATAACTTTTATTTATCAGAAACTAAATAATATGAGGATAAATTCTGAGTTGCTTAACATTTTCACAGTTTAAAGGCAATTATTAGTTATTATAATCAGTACCGGTCATTATACTGACTAGGTGTCTGACATCCTTTTAAAGTGAGCTTTAAGGGCTAGAGATTGAGCCTCCAACACGCCCTTGAAAAGAATCAAAACCACGCCCCTGCAGTCCTAGGGCTGGCGCTCTAACCACTGGGTCAAATCAGCCAGGGCTTTTTTTCACTGCCTAATTTTTGCATACTCCTTCCATCTTATCCCTGTAATAAACATGGCCAAAATCTCCACTGGAAAATCTTCTTTATAGGCAACACATTGATTTAGTGATATAAAAAGAGACTCTGACTCAGTGCTAAATAGTTTTATTTCTGTATTTTAAAGGCATGTTTACACAATAGCTTATTAGTTTTTTAAAAAAATACAAGACAAAATAAATAATACCCCTCTGTAACAAAAGCAGAAATTTCTACTACTCTTGTACTCATACAAAATTGGAAGCACTGGATTTATTTAGCTAATCTCCTGTTTGTTAAAGCATCTAGGACACTAACCATCCTTTGTCATTATAGGGAAGTTAGATGAATCTTAGGATGTTTCCTTAGAGGTCATGTTATTGATCTACCTTACAATACTTACCATTTCCATATCATGCAGTTTAGCCTTCAGTTGTAAATTCTCTTTTTCTAATTCATGTAATTTATCAGAACGAGCTCGAGTTCCTTCTAATTGGTCTTCCAACATGGTTTTTGTTTCTAATAAAACTTGATTGTCTTCTTTTAATTCCTATAAACATTTCAAATAGGCTTTATTGTAAACATGTTAATATCTGTTAATTTTTTAAAGTTCTGAACATAAAAAATCTTGATTGTAAAATAAGACATTAATCTGCCTTTATCAACAGTTCTATGCAAGAGTAAAGCAACTAAGTAATAAAACTACAGTTGTTGATGTTCTCTTGGCTTTACTTCTCCCCGCTCCCCAATTTAAGCTATTATGCAAACAAAATATTCAGTACTTGTGTTAGAATGAGTAATGCTACTATAATTTCACATAAAATTGTCAGGGTACATTTAAATCCCTTAATCACAAGGAGAAAAAACTAAGTATAAATAGCCTTGCTGGTACTTAAGTTACAAATCTCCACAGAATCAGGGCTTAATGTATTTGCTGAAACAGATTTAAAGAGTTCTCTCCACTTAAACCGTAACTTGAAGTGAAGGGTTTGAGGTTTTTGAGTAAAATTCCAAGACTTGAACTAATACTTGCATAAATAAAAAACCAAGGCGTTATCAATAAGTATTTTACATAAGTATCTTGAGAACATGTTTAAAATCCCTACATCATCTTGAAGACATATGTTCACAAATCTATCTTGCTAAGTTTTATGCCTGTAGTTTATATACTAACATCAAGAGACAGTATATTAGAACAATGGCACTTATAAGGATCCTTTAACAGTGCCATGCATATACTCATTTAAAAATTGGCAAAGAATTAATATGCACCTTATCTTAGTAGTCTATTGGGTCTACTTTTGATAACTTTCAGGCTCGAATGTTCTATTTTCTCTTATAATGTTTTCACTTTTTTGTTTTTTTGTTAATCCTCACCTGAGGATATTTTTCCCATTGATTTTTTTTTTTTTTTTAGAGAAAGTGGGAGGGAGGGGGAGAGATATATAGAGAGAAATATCAGTGTGAGAGAGAGACACACACACATCCATTGGTTGCCTCTAACCAGGGCCAGAGATTGAGCCTCCAACAAGCCCTTGACACCCCTGCAGTCCTAGGGCTGGTGCTCTAACCACTGAGCCAAATCGGCCAGGGCTTTTTTTCACTGCCTAATTTTTGCACACTCCTTCCTTCTTATCCCTGTAATAAACATGGCCAAACTCTCCACTGCTTGCAGACAATAAGAAAATTAACTAAGAAAGGAAAAAAGGATGCAGATGCAAGGATTATTAAATTCTTGCTGTCAAACTCAACTTCAGGCAACATTGCATGCCAATCATTAAGTAGGGAAAACTGTTTCTTCTAATTTGTTTATATAAAATAATACTAAATAAAGAAATGAAAGAAGAGTCCCAAAGAGTTAAATAAAATTAATAATGTGCAAATATCCTTTTTAAAATTCTAAGCAATATGCTGATCTATCATAAAATAAACATCTAAAAGTATTTACAGTTTGCTAAACAATTCAAGACCTCCATTCATTAAGTGCATTTTCACTGTACTTTGAAAATTATAACACTTTTAAAGAAAAAAATTGTGAATGGTTTAAATTATGCAACATACCTCAACTCTTGCTTTATAAAATTCAATATCATGTAGCCTCTCTTTATACCTGGTGACTTCACTTTCAAGCTTATCAACTCTGATTGCCTTCTCTCGAAGTGCATCTAATTCATCTCGGTACATTCTTGCAGAACGAGCATCCGAAAGCAAATTCATGTTCTAAACATAAATAATTATTGATATTTTAAAAATTATTTTCTATTTTCAAGTTGATAATCCTTGTTTGCACAACTCGATGAATCTACTAAAAAAATCCATAAACTGTATACTTTAAAAGTGTGAATTTATGGTATGTAAATTATACCTCTATTTTTTTTTTTTAAATGGGGAGATATTAGGCTGTTTTTAAAACAAAAACAAAGGATTTTAAACATTTGTTTACATATAAATATATAAACTTAGGTTTATATACAAATTTTTAGATAATGTTCCATTTAAAGAATGTAAAAAATATTCAGGATGTTTTAAAATAAGTTAACCTTTACCTAACATAACCATTTGAAATTAATTTAAGGTAAAAATAAAAGTTAACTTTAAAATATAGGACAATAAAAACAAAAAAGAGGAAAACTGTATTACTCAAGTTGATCATTAGTAACCTTAGAGAAATAATGGTTCTGTTCAGAGATGCTGTAACATACTAAAATCCTGCTGATTTTTTAATGCTTCCAAGTAAAATGATTAGTGCATATGGTTATTGCATATTTTAATGCCATTTGAGAAAAACATTAAAATTCAAAAAAAGCCTTCTCGTAAACCTTAATCCTTTAGAACAGTAGTTATATCAAAGTGTGATCCAGGGACTTCTGTGGTTACCTGAAACCCTTTCAGGGAGTTCATGAGATCAAAACTATTTTCATAATAATTCTATGACATTATTTTCTTTTTCACTTTCATTCTCTCCTGAGGGCACAGTAGAGCTTTCCAAAAGCTACATGGCATGTGGTATCTTAATCGAATGAATACAAAAATAGATTCGAGAATCTAGTAGTTTTCAATTAAGCCAGGCATTAAAGAGATTTGCAAAAATGTACAAGAGTACCATTTCACTTTTTGTTTTATAAAGTAATAATTTAGTTAAAATATGAATTTTATGTTAACATGAAATGGGTTAAGCATTTATTTTTAAATGAATTAGTAAATATTTTAAAATTCTTAGTTTTAATTTCTAACATAGTAAATACCAATAGATAAAATCTTCATTAATTTTTAAGAGTGGAAGAGTCCTGAGACCAAAAAGATTGAGAACCACTTTTGAAGGGAACACTGATAAAAAACCCGGCTACCAAGACATGGAAGAACAGCCACAGCATATTTAGAAATAGAAATAAAGACGATGATGCCCAATCTCACACATCTAGAAAGGTCCCAGTTTATGATCCTGCAAGTACAGTATTCCCTGAAGTTAAAATGATAGGTTAGGGGAAGTAAAGAAAACTGCCCAGCCTTACCCCAATTCATACCATTTACAGGTTAAAGCGACCTCATTCACTGCCTCCAAATGAAAATGAAACATTATGGGGTGATTAAAAGAAGTAAATTCCTAAACAAATCATGGCTCAAGATGAAAATCTAAAGTTTCAGTCAAAAAAAACTTTTTAAGTAAAAAGGTTTTATCTTATCTAATAGGAAAAGAATGAAAAATTAAAAAGCATTGTCATATATAAATTAACATAAAGCACCATCAGAGAGTGGAGACCTAGGGACATATACATAAGCAGCCACAATTTACAGTGGAGTTGTTTCCAGCTTCCAAGCCGACGGAAGTAAAATACATAAAAAAGAGAAACTTGGAACTCCCCTAGTCCTATGAGGCTCCTTCAAATCTTAGCAAAGATAAAAACAGCACTGACACAGGAAAAAAAAAGTCCAAAGATTTTTGGCTCTGAAAACACTGAGAAAGTCATCAGATCTCCTGAAGCCTCAGTATCCTCATAAAGCATTAAGGTAAAGGTTATAAGGAGAAAAGTCAATTTCCAATTACTTAGTGGTCCTATTTAATAAAAGTTCCAGGTACATACCTCTTGCTGCAGCCTTTTTAGTTCTATTTCCATTTGCTCAAGTTCTTGTTTACAGTCCAGCAACTGTTCAGTCTTTTCCTCCCTTAAATGCAAAAGGAAAGCATTTATTAAAGAATAAGCTCACTGCCGAGGCAGGCGTGGCTCAGTGGTTGAGCATCGACCTAGGATCCAGGCGATTGGGGTTCGATTCCCAGTCAGGGCACATGCCGGGTTGTGGGCTCGATCCCCAGTTGGGGGCGTGAGGGAGGCAGCCGACCAATGACTCTCTCATCATTGATGTTTCAATCTCTCTCTCCCCCTCTCCTTTCCTCTCTCTGAAATCAATAAAGATATATTTAAGAAAAAAAAAAGCTTACTGCTTTCAAAAACTACGACCATCTTCATTAATTATCATTACTAATTGTCTAGTTGAACACAGTATTAGCAAATGACTCCAACTCAGGGGAAAAAGGCAACAAAATGGATTTTAGGAATTTATATGATTAGATAACATCAATAAAACTCCCCCCTAAAGTTCTTCAAAGGCAAACCTCAATAATTAACGTCCTCATAGTTCATAAGGTAGTTTCTTTCCATCTTTCCTGACATCCCCCATTCCCACTCTTTCTCTTCCTCTCAGCATAGTCAAAGACAAATAAGCTGGGCGAGGTTTTATGCAATGCAATACTATCTGCATCTGAGATTTATAAGGGTCTACAAACTATTTTCAACATTCACAATGGCCTAAAGGAAACTATCCACTGCCATGTAGGTACCTAAAATCTTTACAGTTCTACTGGTTTCTTCCCGGGAGCTTATAAACATCCTCAAATTTCTCCTGATTTTTTTTTTTCTTTACACCGCTTTACCTCTAATCCCCATTTCTATTTCCGTTTAGAGCCAACTTCCTCAAAGTCAAGTCTCCACTCACTATCTCTACTTTTCAACCTTCTGTTCTTTAGTAATAAAAGATAAAGGTTCATTGAAGAAAACAATCTGGTGTTGATATCTCTCACACCCATACATTTTTTAAAAACCAAAAATTTTTTAGCACGTCCAATTTATATTTTTAATGTTTTTTTAAACTGAATTTACTGGGGTGACATTGGTTAATAAAATTATACAGGTTTCAGGTATACTCGAAACCATAATTTTTAATGGAGAAATATTCCCTTTGACAGAGGAACCATAATTAATTTACTTAAGTGGATTTTATTTTTTATAGTAATAAAGAATGTTTTGGTAAATGAGCTCATTATACATAAAACCCTGTGTATTTCAGGACACATTTCTAAAACTACATTACAGGTTTAAAGGTACTTGATATATTATGGTCAAGCTGCCCTCCAGAAAGGTCATTCTCAATTTATACGCCAACAACAGAGGATAAAAGTGGCTATAAAGGAAACAATTTAACAGTTGAAAAATGCTGTCACTGTTCTAATTTACATTTATTTGAACACTAGGAAAGGCTAAATTTATTTTCTTATGTTTATGGCATTAAAATGATAAAAAGCTATTATAGTTTTCAATTTATAAGATATTGCTTACAAATATTTCTTTATAAATTATGGATTTTTTCAAAAATTATAAACAAATTCTATTTTTTATTGTGGTAACATATACATAACATAAAACTACAATTTTAACCATCTTAAGTGTACAATTCAGGGGCATTCATTACATTTAAAATGTTGTTAAACTATCACCACTATCTATTCGCAAACTTTCATTATCCCAAGCAGAAACTCTGTGCCCATTAAGCAATAACTCTCCAATTCCTCCATATCCCCAGGGCCCCCACCTCGAATATTTCATCTGAGTGGAATCATACAGTATTTGCCCTTCTCTATCTGGCTTCTCACTTAGCAAATTGTTTTCAGGGCTCATCCACATTGTAGTAGGTATCTAAAGTTCATTTCTTTCCTTTTTTTTTTTTTTTACTATATCTTTATTGATTTTAGAGAGAGGAAAGGGGAGGGAGAGAAAGAGAGAGAAACATCAATGATGAGAGAGTCACTGACTAAAGTTCATTTCTTTATGTGGCTGAATAACATTCCATCACATGCCTATAGCACATTTTGTTTATCCATCTGTTCAGGGACACTTAGGCTGTTTCCACCTTCCGACTGCTGGGAAAAACACTACAATGAACATGGCAAACAAGTACCTGTTTGAGTTCCTGTTTTAAATCTTTTGGGGATATGCCTAGGAGTGGAACTGCAGGGTCATATGAAAATTCTGTTTAACTTTCTGAGAAATATTGTCAAATGCTTTTAACTTTATTTTTTCTGGATGTTTACATATTTAACATTTTTACACAAATAGAGTAACCACCTTTTATAAATGCTACTTTTGCTTTTGTGTACAGTTCTTTCTTACCTAGAGAACAAATATATATTCATTTACATATTACTTTCTGGTTCTTTTAGCATTATTTCATTTTTTACATTTAGCCCTTTAATCCATCTGAAATTCATTTTGGTGTATGTGAGGTATAAATTTAAATAAATTTTCCAAAAGAGTTATTCAGGAGTTCAAGTATTTGTACACCCATTTGACCATTCCATTTACAGCAATGAGGCTTTCCATCCATACCTCCCCAGTGACACTGTTTTTCAGAGTCAATTACATCTTTATTCCTAAATCCAGTGGATTATTTTCAGATCTTTCTGAAGAATTTAGTACAGTTAACTCCATTCTTCTTCTTGACAATCTTGCTCAACTGGTTGCCATGACTTCACACTCTTGGGTTTTTCTACTTCACTAACACTTTTGCTGATTTCATGTTTTGGGCCCATCTTCTGGCTAACAATTATCAAGTTCTCTGTACCTGCGCTAGGCATTTTTGCTAAGCACTTTACACTTTGCCAAGCACTTAATCTTTACAAGAGCCCTCTAAAGAAATAATAGGAGTAATAACAGCTTACATTTATTGAGCACTTATGTACTAGACACTGTTCACTTTACCTATTTACCTCAATCTTAGTAGGCACAATTATTATTCTTAGTTAACAGGCTAGGAAACCAAGCAGCCTTGGAGAGATTAACTTGGCCACAGTCACTCAGTTCAGAAGTGGCTTGGTAATATGCTGTATCTCTCCACAGTACATATTCATTTTATGAATGACAAAATTGAGTTACATGACTAATAAATGGTGAAGTCTGTCTTTAACCACCTTTTTTTATGTTTGTGTTCTTCAGATCACATACCTCTCATTCTTCATGTGTTTCCGGGGCAGTCTTATCCACTTCCAAGGTTTCAACAACTACTCACATGCTGTGTATTTTTCTGCATCAGTATTCTAGTGATCCCAAATCTCTATTCTGCATCATGGACCAAACAGTCTATTATCCAATGATCATCTCCAGAGAGATCACTCTAAGGTACCTCCAATTAAATATGTCAAAAACTAAATTTGTCTTTTCCCTTAACCTTATTCCTTTCTTTCATTCCAAGTGGACACCAGAGCCCTCCAAATGGGCACTGAGTATAAGAAAGTAGGATTTATATCAGAGACCCTGCCTTTTCCCTCGGCTCCTCTCTAACCTCATTGTTACACTCTTTGAGCAAGCTCACACCTCTTCTTGCCTGGACTGTCCTTCAATGCACTTTCACACTGCCACCATAATTTCTATTTTCAATGTGAACACTCATTAAGTCAGCCACTAGGCTAGTATCTCTTTATTAAACATAAACCTGATCTTGTTACTCTCCTATGCAAAAAATCTCCAACTGGTGCCTACTGTTTAAAGCCTAAACTTCTGAGTACTGCATCCATGACCATCCACGTATCCATTCCACCATTTTCAACTTCATTTCTTGCCATGCCCCTCCTTATATCCTACTGAATGTGTTGTACTTCCTTCTGCTTAGAATACCCAATTGAGCCTTTTGAACCTAGTTAATGTCTAACATCAATTGAAATGTAACTATCTCTATGAAATATTCCTAACACCACTCCCTCTCCCCCCAACGCAAAGTCAGAAGAACAAAAACTCCTTTGGATTTCAACTGTAGGCTATACAGACTTCTAATACACCTTCAGTTTTGTGTTATTTCACTGATCTGTTTAAAAGTTTATCTCATAATTCAATTTAAAAATAAGCAAAGGATCTGAATAGACATTTCTCCAAAGAAGATACACAAATGGCCAATTAGTACAGAAAAAGATGCTCAATATCACTAGTTATCAGGGAAATGTAACTCAAACTACAATGAGGTATCACTTCATACCCATTAGGACAGCAATAATCAAAAAGATGTATAATAAGTATAGGTGAGGATATGGAGAAACTGGAGCCCTCATACATTGCTGGTGGGAATGCAAAATGGTGCAACCAGAGAGTTTAACAATTCCTCAAAAGGTTAAATATAGAACTACCATATGACCCAGCATTTCCACTCCTCAGTATATACCCTAAAGGATTGAAAACATATGTCCACATGAAAATGTGTGCATGAATGTTCATAGGAGCATTATTCTTAATAGCTGAAAAACATAAACAAGTGCCCATCAACTGATAAGTAACCAAAATGTGGTATATTTCCATATATTATTTTTTTAAATTCATCTTTACTGTTGAAAGTATTACAGATGTACCCCTTTTTCCTCCATTGATCCCCCCTACCCAGCATCATATATTGTTTTTTAATCATAAAAAGGAATGAAGTACTGATTCATGTTACAACATGGATAAACCTTGACAACACTGTGCTAAGTGAAAGAAGCCAGTCACACAAGGCCACATAATGTATGATTCCATTTATATAAAATTTCCAGAATAAGCAAATCTATGGAAATAGAAAACATATTAGTGTTTGCCAGGAGTCATCAAGGGCAAAGGGGTATTGGGACTGACTGCTAATGGGTATGGGGTTTCTTTCTGGGGTGACGAAAATATCTTGAAATTAGTGTGTGAGGGTTGTGCAACTCTAAGAATATACTAAAAATCACCGAATTGTACACTTTAAAAGAGAAATTTTCTGATCTGAGAAGTAGATCTCAAAAAAGTTGTTATTTTAAAAAAGAATAATTTGTGTGAGAGAAAACTCTTTGAAAACATGGGATCCATGAAGGCAGAGAAAGTTATTAAAGAAAGTTTTTGATAGTGTTAACTACTGCATAAAAGTGTAATTTTTAAGGAATTACTTCTTCCAACCAAATTGCAAATACTTTAACTCTGTATGTTAATAAATCAAAAGCAATTATAATGTACCATCCATAAGTATGTTAATAGTTAATGTGCATGTTCTCATTACAATTATTTATTTCCATTAGGTCTAAAGCAACCTGAACTATTTTTATCCATCCTGATTTCCTTACTTCATCACTTTAGTAAAGATCTGTCCCAGCAAACAGACTTAAAACAAATGTTAATATAAGAAATCCATCAACAAACACATTTTTAAGGACAACAAAGATATTAGATGATATCTGATGATATACTAGTTACTGGGAATACTTGCTATATGTAGTATATTTATTTTCTAATTAAAAATATTCATTTACATTTTCCAATCAGCATATGAGAGACCAAACCTTATCGATCTCCTTTAAGTTGTTTGGAATTTTAATATACTCCACAGTCAAATAAGTTTTATTTAAAAATCAATTTGTAATATAGCGCAAAATGTTAAATGAATTCACAGCCAGCACTGCAGTTCTAATTGCATGCTTTATCTAAAGACTGCAGAAGATTGTGCTAAATTATATGGAGCAAACTAGTGTTCACTGTTTAGGCTATCCATTAACTGCCAGTCAAACTAATAACAGCAATCGCTTCCCTAATTTCCCTGGTGCAGCTGTTTATAGAATATACTGGGCGTGTTCACTTCAATAGAGGCATAATAATGCAGACATCCACAATGAAAGCTGTATTTTTCCCCCAAATTTTCTTTACTACCTTGCATATTCAATCACTTTCTTAAACCAACTGCTTTAAATAATCAGTAAATAAACTTAATTGCTATATTGTGGCTTTAAATTTAAAATCTATACTCTAAAAAAGCTCAAATTCCAGGAGAAAAAATAAAAACCAAAAAAAAGAAAAAAGCCAAAAACACAAAAATCCTTTGTTCTTTTTGAAGTGCAAAATAAAAAATCTCCAGTAGAGATTAGTCATGTCTTCCCATGATTTACCAATGAATGCCTATGTGACACTTCTACTGACTCTTCTGTAATGTTCTTTGAAAGTTAAATAAATTTCAGCAGCACTTACCAATCTGAATATTTACCACTGCTAAGTACATGACTCAGGCATTTCAATTACTCAATGCAGAAGATACACACACAAAATTTAAGTTTTCTTTAAAGCTGTATGCCAACAATTTGGTCTTTTATAACATTAACTTTATTTGATTTATACACATATATATAACTGATTTTAGAGAAAGGAAGGGGGAGGGAGAGAGAGGAAGAGAGTGGGAGAAAGACAGACAGGCAGACAGACAGACAGAGGGAAACATTAATGTGAGAGAGAAACACTGATTGGCCGCCTCCAGAACATGCCCCGGACCAGGAATTGAATCCACAGCCTGGATATGTGCCCAACAGAAAAACAAACCCTCCACCTTTAGGTATACAGGACAATGCTCTAACCAACTGAGGCCCACCAGCCAGGGCTATAATGTTAATTTTAAAAGAGCTAAATTTATTGATCTGTATCAGTGGTTGCCAATATTCTGTATTCCAAAAATGTAAAAATAAAAAAATTACGGAGATCCCAATTTGCCAATGAAGAACATTATTTTATAAAAGAAAGGGTATTTTATCACTAAACAGATAGGGAGGACATAAATCCAGAATCAAGGGCATCCTTTAAATTGGTAAGATTTAGCATTAGGAAAACCTAATGTTCGTCTCCGTATTTTTCTCATTTTGACAAAAACTAGTAAAAACTTTGACATAGGCCAGCAACTGAGAACTACTATCTACATACCATAAGCCTAAATGAACCTTGAAAATCAGCAACTTACAATTCCTGCCTAAGCCTTCTGATCTTGGCCTTAGCATCTGCCAGTTCCACTGACAGATGTTGTCGACTTTCTGTCCGCTTCATGCCTGGAGAACCACAGGGTGACTGTGCAGACGAAGAGCCATGGGGTAGAAAATGAAGACCATCCCGTTCTTCAGAAAGTTCTACGATAGTCTAAGAAAATGTGGAAATAAACACAGAATCACCTTTAGTATTTTACATATCAAAGAACTAAATACATCAACACTATTCACTGACTTTAAGTACAATAATATAAAGTCAAAAACAATTCATTGGTCAAAAAATATCTTAATTTTGTCATATTTAGCTGTTATTTTTAAAAGTTTGATTCAACAGATCGTGGATAAGCTATTTAATAGATAACAGTAGAAGACGACTTAATACTTTTTTTCTGCTCTTAGTTTAACAAATGAAACCAACCGTGGTAAAATAACTAGACCGGATAATTTTAACACAGAGAATGTAATGGCAAGTATTTTGTTCACGTTTCTTCAACATAATGTACTCCTTCATCCCATATTAATCAGTTCATGTAAATGAGATTAATCAGTCATATGAAACCAAAGTATAGATTTTTAGAATTAATTCCTCAGAAGTTGGAGGGCAACTTATTAAAATACCTTTAAATAACCTGACATACAAACAAAGGAATGTTCTAGAAATAAGTAAAGCAGTGAAAAGACACTACTATAAAAAAAGATGTAGCATATGGTTCAAAAATCAGATTGAAAATGAAATAAAATTCAGGGTAGGTTTGATATATACTAGGGATTTTTCTAATTTACTCTTTTCTTTCTTTGGTCTCACTGTGTTAGCTTTTAAAAAAAATTTAATTGTTGCTCTAAAATATTTTTCTATTTCCTATATTGTCTTCTCCTTCAATGACTGAAGAAAACTAAAAATTCTCATCAGAACTGAATATACTCTAAAGAGACATGAAAGTTCTGTTCAGAAAAATAAATCTTTAGGAATTTCTTCTATGTAGTCTTTCATTTGTCCCAAGAGTAACCAAATTCTCTGTAAATCAACTCAAAACTGTCTCCATATAAATGGAACAAATGATCAGAGCTATACATTGTCCTGAATGGCAGAGTACTTTGGTCTGATATTAAGAAAATATTACTCACCACCACATGCACTGAAGTCTAGACTCCTCTAAAAATTACAAGCTGCTTTCAGAGAGTGCAGGCAAAAAATCTGGAGCAATTTTCCTCTTTTTAAAAAGCAAAGTACTGTCTTAAAAGAGCTTACAATAATTCCCATTTTTAAAAATCACACCTCATTATACTAACTACAAAAATTTGAGAACTTTTGTGGGACATTTTATTCAGAACACCTGTTATTCTCCTTTTATTAACACTTATTTTTCCACCCTCATGTGGCAATAAAACTAAAAAATTATCCTTAAGCAAATTCTTATGCTTCAAGGCAATGATTTTTCCACTTACATCAATGATATTTTCAGTTTCACACTTTTGTACTGTTGCCGAGCTATGGGGATGACTTAAAAAACACACGGGAACAAAATCAGAATAATAATTTAAAAGGAAAGGGAAAAAGAAACCCTAATTGCAATCTGTTTACTAGTTTACTGTTTAAATTTGTCTAATCTGGGGATCTTATATGTTCTTTCTGGTTCCTGTCACACAAAAAAAGATACAGCACCTTTAATAAGTGAAGTATCAATTCTGAAGTACCTCTGAATGCCACTTTTCTCTTTTCTTGGAAAGCAACTTTGGAAATAAACTACAAGAAATTTACAAACCTCTGAATGTTCATCTCTCTCATCTATAAGTCTTTTTAGATGCAATGCCATATTTTTCAAGAGTGGTTCTATTTCCTCCTGAGTCATATCAGTCACTTCCATCCATTGCAAATCGAACACATTTTCCTGATTATGGGTTACCTTTAGAAAAACAATCAAAATAAATAATTTAAAACACAGCTAATACTTAAAAATCTGTTTCACCTTAGCACAATAATAGCTCAAATATTATATCCCATATATAAAAATATAAAAAGCAAATATGATGTTTAAAAACATTTAAAATTAATGAATGATGAAGAGGCTACTACTGACAATTATTTTTTAAAATACAATCTTATAATGAATTTATATTTATTTTCCAGTCAACTAAAAAAAATATTTAATTCAAGGCATTCCTAAAGGAAGGTAACAGTGATACGTCTGACAACTGCTGTAACAAAATCAATTTAACCTTTCATTAGATAATACTAAAGTATTGTACTTTAATTCAAAAGTAAAAGTGTTTTAATCATGTAGGATATATGTTACAGATTCTGAAAATGGCACCTCACATAACCTTAGGAGAAAAGAACTCCCAATATAAAGATTTTTTAAAGAATGGAAGTTATATAAGTGAAATACTTAGTTCTTGCTTTCCATTTCTCACCATGATTCTGATATTTTGCTTTAACTTTCACAGTAAGCAGCAAAAAAATAACATTTTCAAGAATGGTGGCAAATTTAGTAACTTGCAAGACTTAGCATTTATTCAAAATAAAATACAAGCCATAAAGCTAAAACACACACATATAAGGGAAACTACCAATACAACTGCACCTTATAGAGTATTAACATGCATACTGCTGACAATACTATTACTGACAAGAAAGCTGGGCTCTATGAATGTTAACTAAGAGAAAAGATGATATATGGAACACAAAGTCATTTAAATACGTAATATTTTAAACACTACTAATTTTCACTATTTGAAAATCCTCTCCTTTACCTTTCCTTACTTCTCTTTCTAACCAACGTGTAAAATTTAACACGCTCTAGTTCAAAAAAGTCTTGTAAAGTACACGACTAAAAAACTAAGTCTAGATAGATACAGAAACAGCTGCTTTTAAAAGCAATCTTAAATTATGTAACTTCAGTTATTTGAGACTGCACAATATATACTAGATTTAAGTTTTTATATGGATGTTACAAATCACTAATATGTTTATAATTGCAGTAACGTTTTCAGTAAAAATTATGCTGTGTCCATTCATTCAAAGGAAAATCAATGAATGACAAAATACTAGTTATCATCTTACCTCACCTTACCTTACCTTTGAATTTGTAATTCAAAATGTAGTTTTGAATTACATGCAATGATCCACTTTCTGCTGCTTCCATTTACTATACTATTCACTCTGTGCTAACAAAGACATATACTTCATTCTTCAAATAACACTTTTTGCCTATGTCCCTCTGCATAAAGCAACAGTACCTGTGGTTAGCACTATGCCACGTATAAAATGATTCATTTAAGAAACTATCTCTAAAGAGAAGACAATCTGTCTAAAAGCAGGGTTCATCTATATTTGACCTTGATTTGTTCTTGCTTATCCTATGACTTTGGGAGATACATAAACACACGACAAGCTTTATGAAAACTGTACACAGGTTGTTACCTCTTGAATATGTGCGGCAACTGCTGCTTTTGTATCAAAATCTAAACCTTGAATTCTTTCAATAAATTCTTCTTTTTTCTGACACTAAAAGAAATTAATAAAATGATCATTTATAGTATTTAATATGTTGTAAATAACTAAAAACTCATCAGAGTAAAAGGCTTGACTATGCTTTGAACAGTACAATAAGGGTTTTGTTTTGCTTTGCATTTAAATGGTCTCTTTAATATACTTACCTAATAAAAAGATAACAATTTAGAAACATTTACTTAAAAAGCAAGGCATTGAAAATACATACTATTTTTATGCTTCAAAGTTCTAAAGCGGGAAACCATAACACAACCCATGTGAGGTCAGTACAATATTATTATGCTAACTTTACAGAGAAGTAAAGAATCAAGAACTTGTTTCAGGGAGGAGAAGTTACTTGCCAAAAAACACAGTGAGTCAGTGGCAGAATTCGGAATACAGCCAAAATGCTCAGTAAGTCTTTGGCTATCATCAAACAACACAGCCTTTCTTCTTGGGGGGAAAAAAATGTTAAGCAATTTTTACTTCAAGCTTACAATTTATTCTCACATCTTCATCCTATCAATCTAGTAAAAGAAACTACTTTTGTGTACCAGTTCAACATTTATAAGGTAACACAATAAATATTTGATTTGTTTATAACATAACAAAGTTACCAGGGGCAAAATTTAAGAATGTATATACAAGTACACATGTATCAAGTGGGAATAAAGGCAGCATTTACACTTTTTAAAAGCTTTATATAAATTAAAAATATTAAAATGCAAACGCAATCTTTTTCTTTCCAGACAATACTAACAGCTTAACATGCACCTTAATCTCTGCCTCCCCCCTACATCTTTTATACTGCAATCCAACTGCTAGCATAACAGTATTCCTCCAGCTACCAAATGAGAAGCGCATACAAAATAACCAGCGCTGCCTTGTCTAGCTCAGTGCCATCTCTGGGGCCAATTACTGAACACTAGTGAAGACTATATATTCACAAAAAGAAAAATTAAGAAACTTAGCAAGGTTCTGATTTATATTTCACATATTTATTATATCAAACCATAACATCCTATTTCTATTGCCATAAAATTTAACTCAATTAAACACATTCCCATCAATGCAGAAAGTTCTATATCATATAAAAACAAAATTATTAAGATATAATAATATTTAAAATTAAATTACAAGAAACATAAAATTCATATAGCTGTGACTAGAAAAGGAAGTCAAAATTTGGGATATTGAAACAAAAATTTGTTTAAAGACAAAAAATTTTGCCTATGAACAGTATTTGACAGGCCTAGTGAGAATGATTAAGAATGACTTTGTGATAGTACATTTGTACCATATATAAAGTAACTTTTTAGGTATGGTAACCCCAATTTTTAAATGTAATGCTTTCAAAAATGTTAACCTATGCATACTTTCTGAGCTAACTGAGCATATAAAATACTGGATTATAATGACCATTACTCACTGAAGTGATGGTTCCCCAATTCAACTGTCGCATCTGTATGCCTTCGGTTTAAACTAAACAAAAACACTTCCCTTTCCTAAGCCCTAGAGCTGATGTGTTTTTTTTTAATGTATGTATGTACCATATTATTTATTTATTTTTTAAATTTATCTTTATTGTTGAAAATATTACAGATGATTTCACTTATATGTAAAATCGAAAGAACAATATAAATGGAAAACAAAATAGAAACAGACTCATAGATACAGAGAACAGACTGACGGTTGTCAGAGGGGAGGAAGGTTGGGAAACTGGGTGAAAAAGGTAAAAGGACTGAAAACTACAGATCTGTAGTTACAAAACAGTTATAGAGATGTAAAGTACAGCACAGGGAATATAATCAGTAACACTGTAATAACTATGTATGGTGCCAGGTGGGTACTGGAAATATCAGGGTGAACACTTTGGAAAGTATATGATTATCTAACCACTATGCTGGAAACCTAAAACTAACACAAAATAATATTGAATGTAAACTGTAAAAATAAAAAACTTTTAAAAATAAAAAAATAACAAAAAAATATCCCCATTTTCTAGCTTACTTTACAATGTCATACTGATCCATGAATTATATTCCTTTACACAATTTTCCCATTCTGTGCCTTCTCTTCTGCCTTAATCCCCTCAAATATTCTTCCTATCTTTTCCAATGACCATTTGAAATAATATCTACCTTATAAACCCTTCCCAGATTATGTGAATCTAAAGTATAGGGGATCATAACCAGCTGATATAGTAATAAGAAAAATTAAGCATACTTAACATTGCTAGAAAATCTTCTTGTTTTAATTGCATGATATATCGTTAATGTAAACTATTTTAGGAGGCAGGATCTTTACAAGGTAGGTCCTATGTATATATTATTTTGCTTTATGCAGATTTAGTTCTGTTAATCAAAAAGAAGAAATGTACATATCTAACATTATGATAACTGGTGATTTCTAGCTTGGCTTCATTAAGTGTTTTTTTTAAAAAACAGGCTCTGCTTTACCTCAGTAAAAAAGTAAAATGGTATGAACATCAACATGTAAAAATTTCTTGGTAAATTTCTTTAGGAAACACCCACTGGGTTGATTAACCTATCAAATGCTTTATTTAACTTATTAGAAAAAGAACCATTATTTCCATGCCATCCTTTTCATTTTCCAGCATCTGGGATCCTATCATGTGAGTTAAAGAAAATAGTAAGGCTGGGGGAAGCAGTTTAGATTTTATAATCTTCTTTTGTTGCTTTTACAGATGGTAATTATGATTGTTTCTTTAATATTTTAGGCTTTTCCTAAACTGTTCATTTAAAAAGCCCTTGATTCTAGTCCACTGTCACTATCAGTTTTAGTAACCAGCAATAACAACCAAATAGAAACCAAGAGTAACAACCAAATGTACACTGTCACTATGTTATCTAAAGTTACATAACATTCACCAATAGAGGGTATTTTTAAAAGCAAATAAGCACACAAAGGCTGTATGTAAATAATTTATGGCTCTTTCTAACTCAGAATCTGATGACCAAATTAGAAGAGCAATGACTACAAACACTATATTTAATTTAATATGTAATCAATTATGAAGTAAACACCTGTATATTACACAGCATGAAACTTTAATAACATACATTGTATATATACAGCTCCCAAGCAGTCAGCTCTAAAAGCCAACACTCCTTTGGATATATAATTTCTGATGTGTGTAAAACATTACTAGTGGCCACATTACTGGTTTACCAATACTTCATTCAACAAAGAAGAAAGATAGTTTAAAGCAACATTGTGCCCTGTCCGGGTAGCTCAGTTGGTTAGCATGTTGTCCCAATACATCAAGGTTGTGAGTTCAATCTCTGGTCAGGGAACATACAAGAATCAACCAATGAATGCACAAACATGTTTCTCTCTCTCTCTTTTTCAAATCAAAAAATATTTTTTTAAATTTAAAGTAACATTGTGATGACTAATCCAAACACTGGCTGATTAAAGAAAACATCAGACTGAAGCTGAATCTCAACTCTTAGGCCTACTAACAATATGACCTAAATCTAGAGTGACCACCTCTGTTTGTCTGGGACAGTCCATTTATACATGCAGTTCCACTGTAACTGTTAACAGTAGACCCTTTTTGACTTTCACAGGTGTTTTAATTTGGATAACTTAAATATCATCCTACATAAACAGCAAACTCCTTATCTGAAAAGAGGTATTATAAGAAAACCTATATAAGGTATCATATCAATAAATCATAGCTGCTATTACTATTATTAGTCATTGATTAAAAGGACAATATAACAATAATCCAGACTCCTAAGACATTTTCCATAACTTCTGCCTCCTTTACATTGCTATTCCCACTTTCCTTCAAAAACAGACACACATGCATGCATTAATCACAAGGATGTTTTGAGAGAGGTTTTTAAGAGTACCTCTAAGGAAACTTGAAAAACTTGGGGCCCTTAGAAGCCTCAGAATAAAGAAAAATGTAATTAAAGATTTTAAGTGAAATGACTATCTGAGCCCGGCCAGGCGTGGCTCAGCAGTTGAGCATCAACCTATGATCCCGGAGATCACAGTTCAATTCCATTCCGGGTCAGTGCACATACTCAGGTTGTGGGCTTGATCCCCAGTCGGGGTCGGGCAGGAGGCAGTCAATCAATGACTCTCTCATCATCGATGTTTCTCTCTCTCCCTCTCCCTTCCTCTCTCTGAAATCAATAAAGATATATTTAAAAAGAAAAAGGAAAAAAGAAATGACTGATAATGTAACTAAAATTTGAAATAAAATAAGAGAATAAGTCTTTTTCTTCAAAATCTCCTTAGGAGGTTATACAGTTATTTGAAATCTCTAACACAGACTTTGAAAACTAATGGCCCATCCTTAAGTCCTTCAGAAACTAGAGCCTATAAAAACATAAAGAAGTTAACAAAATGAAATATGAAGAAATTTTTAACTTACCTGAACTGCACAACCCAGTAAAAGTAAAAGCAACTTTTTAACTTCTTCTGTGCCTTGTTCTGAAATAAAAACAATGCTTAAGAACAACATTTTACTTTAATCCAACTCTCTCTCTTATATTGACAGAAGTACTTCTATAGTTAATATTCACAACTTGACTAAAGGATTACGAATGTAAGTACAGTGGAAAATTCAAAATAACAGCTCTGTTATTGTGTGCACAATGTGGTAATAGCAGAGAAAGAGGCAAGGCTCTCAATTTTGAGAGCCTATAGACAAAACAGGCTTCAAAGTTCTGTGCAATAAAGTATGCTAACTATAAATCCACTACTTTTCCGTATGATTATACTACAGCAGCGTACTAAATTAAGAACTGTTAATATAAGGACATACCACAAAATCAGCCAAAATGGTTCTCAATAGGTCTGCCTTCTTTTAGGACTTTTATTATTTTCTTTCTAAAATACATCTTATATGATTCACCTACCCGTAAAATTTAAATGGCTTTCCACTGTGTAGATTCATGAGGATCAAAACCTTGTCAGTTACAGCAAAACTGGTAAAATAAATGTATATTGCGATTTGGATAAAAGTAATGGTCTGTAACAGAAGTGAAGAACACATCTGCTGTCCAATTCAATTCAGATTTGCTTAAAACATTCCACAGACCAAAAAAAGTCAATTCTTTGGGCCAGAATTTCACCATCAGGCCAATCTGATCCATGACAGTCCAAATCTTTTCAAACATTTCCTCCTATTTTCCATGAAACACCCTACTTTCTTAGCGGCTAATCACGTTCCCCCAAGTATAAATACATACTTATTTAAAAAACGGACTTAACTTCTATTACTCACTCTATCTGTCTTTCTTCCCTTCCCCTTCACCCCTCTACTTACTAATCACAATCCCAGGCACTGCTGTAACACCTCTGTGTAGTCTTCTCTGACCTAACCACCAACAGTCCCAACCCTTACTAATCTGCCAACTTTAAGAATATGCAATAGCTCCATATTTTATATGCCTTAACATTTTTACAGATCTCTATTTCATACCAATTCTTACATGATTTACCAGTAATCTTATGTCTCTCACCAAAACACAAGGTCCTCCAGAGCATACACCATTTTCTTTATTTTGTTGGTCTTTACTTGGTAGGTAATTACTAAATGCATGTAGAAATAAAAAATAATTCCATTCTACATACAAAATATTTTTTCATTTTTTATTTGTATAATCAAACATCCCAGAATATCTCTATAGAGACTGTCTAAACTTCTAATTCAGCCATCTAATTGGTAGCTTCTTCAATAAAAACAGCTGCTTGATTTTAGTTTTTATTTTGGTTTTATTTTTGTTTGTTTTGACTGAGGGTGGGGGTGGAGTTTGGAGAACATACACTTTATTTGAGTTACATGTAGGCTGTTGGAATAAGTCCATTGTTGAAACAGTTATGCCACTGCTAATTTCCCCAATTATTCAAAAATTAAACTCTAAACATGCCACAGTTAAAATCTAGTAAAGTGCAGAAACTTTTGAAAAAATAATTTAAATGATTGAAGAAACTGCTTCTCATCTTTCCATACAAGTAATTTCTATTTATAAATTACAACATACCAATGAGTAAAACCTTAAATTCAAACAATTCTGGCAATGGTAGATATTAGGTATATAAAAAGAAACCTAGAAATTATTTCAAAATCACCTCTTTTCTAAGGTTATGTTCCTTGAGCCCTACAGCTACATTATCTTCTATCCTTATTCATAATGAGACACTAAAACTCATCACAGAAAACTATGAATTTGGTACAGTAAAAAAAAAAAATCTTACTTAATGTAAAAAGTATATCTGATCCCATCTACAACTTACAAATATTATGAGTTTATTTTCTCTCTATAAAACAGACTATCACCTCCAACTTTCCCTAGAGAGTTATGAAAAGCTCAGTCTGTTGATGTAAATAAGCAAGATCTAGGTAAGCATTCTAGTATTACAAAAGGCAAAGACTTCGTTATTACATTATGCTAATGTTAATACTTACCAGAGAAGGGGTTTTTGCCAATGATTAAGACATTTGGCAATGACATCATGATCAATTGCTGCAAAGTCTCCTATAAAAAGATATCCAAAGGTTGTTATATGGGTAATGCTAACTAGGTAATTACTCAACAAGCTATAACTTAAGATTTGTGTACTTCTCTGAAGGTATGCTATACTGCAATTAAAAAGCTTTTAAAAATAAATGTGAAAAAATATATCTAAGGTTTTAAGTTTTTTGTAACTTTAAGTTAATGAGTTAAATAACTAAATTATAATATCAGATAGACTTAAGTTATTAAAACATGTCAAATGCCCACAAAATAAAAGTGTCAAGCTGAACTGGCCTAATATTTATTTGGAAACCTGAGTTTTAGGTGTTAGGTAATTAAACAACATTTCTCAATAAAAGATTATGTACTCATTTGGGTTTTTTGTTACTTCTCTGAGGGAACTAAAATTATCAACTGATATTAAAATTAAGAAAGGTAGTTACTGGCTGGGCTTGGCTCAGTGGTTGAGCGTCGACCTAGGATCCAGGAGATCGCGGTTCGATTCCTGGTCAGGGCACATGCCTGGGTTGCGGGCTTGATCCCCAGTCAGGGGTGTGCAGGAGGCAGCCGATTAATGACTCTCATCATTGATGTTTCTATCTCTCTCTCCCCCTCTCCCTTCCTTTCTCTGAAATCAATAAAGATATATTTAAAAAGAGAAAAAGAAAGCTAGTTACCTTATTCAAAATCCTGTCTTATGATAATTTCAGGGAAGTGAGCTCTTCCTCAGTGAATCATTACTTTTCTCCTCTATCTACAATAGATGTTTTACTTCCTTTGACTTCTAGCAAAATTTTAGTGACAAGAATATATACATAAGTACAGGATAGAGAATATAGTTATAATAATATTGCAATAACTATGTATGGTACCAGGTGGGTACTAGAAATATTGGGGGCATCACTTTGTAAAGTATGTAATTCTCTAACCACTATGCTATACATCTGAAACCAATACAAAATAGTATTGAAAGAAAACTATAATTAAAAAATAAATTAAATAAATAATATATACATATTCTGAATGTATAGGATGAGTCAGAAAGAACTGGATGCCAGTGGATCAAAGAAATCTGAATGACATTACAATTTTTAATGAGCTTTTACACATTCTAAGTCATTAAAATGAAAACTAAGAAAGAATACTAACACTTAAATGTACCTATCATTACTGAAAATACACACTGAAATAATTTCCTCCACTAACAATCATCTTAGGGTATTGTGTCACTTTTCCTTTCTCCCTAGGAATCATTTTTTCAAGATGACTTTAATGTTTACCAACCCACTGAAAAAAACTGGAGACATACTTATGAATTTTAACTTACCCAAATTCACTTTCCTTTTGTGTATCAAAAGAATCAAAATGTACTCAAATATTTTACCTCAAATACTTTTTCTTAGGGGTATATAGATATAAAAACTTTCTATTTTTAATAGCTTTAGAAAGACTTTTGGGGGAGAAATCTGGTTTTTCAAAAAGATAGATAATTTATCAGGTGACAAGAACTGCATTGATTTGGACTTTGTTAACTTGAAATCTGTCATATTAAAGCAGGCCATGTCTATCTTGGTTATACACACACACACACACACACACACATATGAATAAAAAATTATTTCAGTAAGTCAGTTTTGTGTAAATAAGATGGTTGACCTATTTCTGAAGATACTTCACAAGTGCCTTAGAAACATTTTATCTAAGAATATGAAACACAGGGGCGGGTAGAGATGGTTTAGCAAACTGGTTCTAAAGGAAGGGCATAGGAAAGTGGCACAGGAGAATTTCAACCCTCCGTGATATTTTGTTTTAAATATCTGAAACAATACTGACAAAATGTTACAATATTCAATCACTTCTAGCCCTAAATTAGTCCACTAGTATTCAAACTTAGATTAATAAAAAGAAAAGGGAATAACTGGTCATCCAGCAAATGTTAATGAAATATTTACAAATGTGTTTAAAAAAACAGTGACAGTCAAGAAAAAGCAAATCAGCCTTGCCCCGGCAGCTCAGATGGTTAGAGCGTCCTCCTGAAAGACCAAGGTTGCGGGTTTGGTTCTCAGTCCAGGGCACACACAAGAATCAACCAACAAATGCATAAATAAGTGGAACAACTCGATGTCTCTCTCTCTTTCTCTAATCATAAATTTAAAAAAATTATTTTAAATAAAAGAAAAAGCAAATCATTAATAATATCATCTTGGCACTATTAACATTAGGCCTTAAAAATGTTTATTAAAAAAATCTAGCACAGATTTTTATTTCTGGCAACAAGGAGTACTAGACATTAGAATGGAAGAAAGAAATCCAAAAACACTGAATGATTTTTTAAAAATCTTTAAAAATATATGACTGACCTCAAAAGAAAGTAAAAAGATAATTTTCAGTTAAAAGATAAAACAGAAAAAAATTAAACCCTGTAAAGGAAGGTACGGAAAAAGCTGGGGTTTTTTTAGCCTTTGGTAGATATTAAGGACAGCTCTTTCCCTCAGGATTTGCAATAATGTAGTCCCAGCTTAAAAATATAAACACATAAATACATCCTTTCCATACACACAGATGCAGAAGAGATCCAGAAGTATATATATTCAGGCACTATAGCGGTAATCTCTATTAGGCACCGGAACTGTTCATACTTTATATTTTTTCTAGTTTTCTACAGTAAACAAGTATTGCTTCTAAAATAATATAAAACTGCTTAAAATAAAAGTGGCTCTAAGTTGGTTGCACAAAAGGAAACAAATCTCTGAAATAATGTATACTTGGCCCACATGAAAGTATTCCCACAGATAAATTTCCTTCCAAAATGAGCTCACAACTAAAACAGACGCGTGTGCGCGCACACACACACAACCATTGCCACCATCAACCACTGTGAGAAATAGCAAACAGAAAACACAGGGCAGATTCAGATCCCCACAGATCTGCTTTCAGATTTTGAAATTATCAGACATAAAATCTAAAATGGAAATTTTTAAAATTTCTAAAAAAGTAAATGAAGGAATTAAAAGAATGATTAACAAACAAAATGGAAAAAAACACGTAAAAAAAATCAAACTTCTAGAAATGAAAGATATAATTATCAAGAATCAAAATTAATCAGTGGGTTAAACAGAGATTTGACAAATGTGTGGCAAATTAGGAAACTGAAAAGACAGTTCTGAAAAAATTCTCAGAATGTAGGACAAGATTGATAAAAATTTAATAAACATGAAGGAGAAAGTTAAGAAAGCCTAGTATACATGTAATAAAAATATCTGAAGTATATCAGATATCAGAATAGGAAATAGTCAATATTAGAAGAGACAAAATTAGCAGCCAAGGAGAGAAAAATGACAGTTTAACCTAAGAACAAAAATTAGACTGATGGCTGACTTCTCCAGAACAATAGAGAATCCGGAGACAGAAGAATAAAATCTGTAAAACAATGTGGGGAAAATTAATTGTTAACCCAAAAAAATTACTCTCAAGAACAATGGTGAAAAAAAGGCATTTTCAGACAAATAGACATTAAGAAACTTTACTTTCAACAAGCCCTCTCTAAACAAGCATTTATTTTATTTTATTTTTCCCATTGCCTTTCAGAGAGAGTGGAAGGGAGGGGGGGCGAGAAAGAAAGCAAGAGAAAGAGAGAGAAAGACAGACACATTGATTGGCTGCCTTCTGCACGAGCCCCAACCAGGGCCAGGGATACAGCCTGCAACCAAGGTACGTGCCCTTGGCCAGAACTGAACACAGGACCCTTCAGTCCTCAGGCTGACACTCTAACCATTGAGCCAAACTGGCTAGGGCTAAACAAGCATTCAAAGGATATACTTCAATAAGAAAATTATCCTAAAGACAGGTCTGAGATAGAAAAGAAAACAAGGGAGGGAGTGGGGGGATCATGTAGCTTGACGTAAAGTAACACTGATTTTATTTATTTGACAGTAATTTCAATATCTAATTTATGAGGTTTTTTTAAAAACTAAAATACAAGACAATAACAGCTTAAAAGTCAAAGAGGAGGAGCCTGGCTGGTGTGCTCAGTGGTTGAGCATTGGCCCTTGCACCAGGAGGTCGCCAGTCAGATTCCCCCGCCCTCCCATCAGGACACATGCCCAGGTTGCGTGCTTGATTCCCCAGCACGGGGCATGCAGGAGGCAGCTGACAGATGTTTCTATCTCCTTCTCTCCCTCTCCCTTCCTCTCTTTCTAAAATCATTAAAAATTGTTTTGTTTTGTTTTTAAAGTCAAAGGGGGAATGACTAGAGTTAAAGCATTCTAAGGTCATAGTACTATTCATAAAAGAGTACAGATACTGATTAATGTTGACCTTTGCTTATGGTAAACATAAAAGGTATAATTTCGAAAGTGGCCTCTAAAAAAAGAGATGTAGAGTGAAAAAACTTTTAAACCAGGGGAGAGAAAGATATGTAGAAACAATTACTGATAAATGGTATAATTCTTCTAATAATTAAACAATTTAAAACTCTTTTGCATCCAATAACATAGCTTTAAAGTATACAAAGTAAAACTTGACCAATCTATCATCATAATGGGAGATTTCAAGTCATCTTTCTCAATAACTGTAGATCAAGAGACAAAATTAATCAGGCTGCAAAAGGTTTCAACAATATAATTAACAAACAAGCTCGCTCTGACTCTGCACCCAAATAATTAAAGAATACACATCTCTTTCAAGCACACATGGAACTTTAATTAAAACTGACAACATAGTAGGCCAAGCCAAGTAATTTTTAACAAATGTCAAAAAACCAGTATCATACAAACCACATTCTTTGACCAAAAATCAACAGATTGCTTGGGAAATATCATATTTTTTGAAATCTAAAAGCATACTTCTAAATAACTCATAACTAAACAAAGAAATCATAACAAAAATGAGAAAATTCACAGAATAAACATTTTAAAAATACAACATACTAAAATTTGTGTGATACAGCTACAGAGATTCTTAGAAGTATATTGATAACCTTGAGAATGCTCATATTTATTTAAATTGTGAAATGTGCATCCAATTTAAGTTAAAAAAAAAAAGAACAATAAAAAGTACACCCTTGAAAAGCATAATGAGAGCAAGCTAACAAGGTAGTGCACTATGCAAATCCTCAGGAAATAGAATTAGTTTTAAGAATTCACAAAATATAATAATTATCTGTAAAACTAGATAATAATGAAGTACTTGACTGTATCTTAATATTGCATAAAAACAGACTGTGTTATTATTGTTCTATCTCCAGGAAACAGACCAGTACCTGGCATATTATAAGCAGTTAGTATATGTTAGGTGATTGATAGGAAATAACACAAAAATGTGAGTATATAAGAGAAAACCCTTGTATTAAAATACAATAGATGAAAAAAAAACACTACTTACCTGATAATAGCATTTTATTTGTCTCACCAAAATGGACAGATTATGAATTCTAAGTGAGGCATCGTTGTTGACTTTTTTATTTACTCTTTGACTCTCCAATTTAGGATTACTGAAAGAAATTTTAAAAAATACTTTAAAATTATACTGAAATATATTATCAACCTATAGATGACTAAAAATAACCACATAATACATTTTTTCTTTAAATTGTACCTTCACCTGCATTAAAAGAGATAATCCAAAAGGACAGATGATTACTTTGAAATGTATTCTGTGCTTCTAATTAATAAAAATGCATCTGATATTTCTTAGACAGTAACTAAATAAATTTGAAACATAAGTCAGATGTTGCCCTTCATTCTCATTTGTCTCTCCAACTCCCTGGGATAAATAACCTCTTATTTCCTTGAATATATATATTTCCATAACCTAAATTAAATCTATTTAAATCAAGAATGTAAACTATGGTCCTACATAGTAACCAATAAATAAATAATAACCAATAAATGTTGTATCTTCTCTCAGGCAATATTCCAGGGAAATTAAAGAATGAAGTAATGATACAGGTTAATACTTCTATCTTAGATAATCTTTGTAGATTTAATGAAAGCAAAGATTTCAGTAATTTTGAGGTAGCACAAACTGAAGAAAAATAGTTAGGCCATGGTTAAGAATGAGAAATTCAATGACACAAAAAAGCAAAGGCAACAAAAGCAAAAATAATCAAGTGTGACTAATAAAAGCTTCTTACAGCAAAGAAAACCATCACCAAAACGAAAAGGCAACCTATGGAATAAAAAATAAATTTGAAAATTATATATCTGATAAGGAGTTAATATCCAAAATAAATAAAGAGCTCAATATGGCTCAATAGCAAAAAAAAAAAATCCAATTTTAAAATAGGCACAGAAGCTGAATACACATTTTTCCAAAAAAAGACAAATGGCTAACAGGTACGTGAAAAGGTGCTCAACATCACTAATCAGGGAAATGCAAATCAAAACTACAATGAGATATCACCTCATACTTATTACAATGGCTATCATCAAACAAGGCGAGATAAGTGTTGGTGAGTATGTGGAGAAGAGGGAACCCTTATGTGCTGTTGGTGGGAATGTAAATTGGTGCAATCACTATGGAGGTTCCTCAAAAAATTAAAAATAGAACTATCATATAATCCAGCAATCCCACTTCTGGGTATATATCCAAAGGAGATGAAATCAGGATCTCAAATTGTTATCTGCACCCCAGGTTCACAGAAGCATTATTTACAATAGCCAAGATATGGAAACAACTTAAGTGTACATCAACAGAGAAATGGATAAAGATCTGATATAGACACATACACACACACACAAACACACACACACAAATATTATTCAGCCTCAAGAAAGGAAATCCTGCCATTTGCAACAACATGTGTGGATTATGCTAACTGAAATTAAGCCAAAGACAGAAAAATACTCTGTTCTCACTTATATGTAGAATCTTAAAAAAAGTCAAACTCATAAAAACAGAAAATAGAAAAGTAGTTGCCAGGGGATGAGGGGCTGAAAGGAATAGAAAGAAGCTGGTAAAAGGGTACAAACTTTCAGTTATAAGGTCTGAAGATCTAATGTAAAATATAACAATTGTTGGTAACACTGTATTGTAGAATTGAAATTTGTTAAGAGTGAAACTTAAATGTTCCATACACACTAAAGATAAAAATGTGAGGCAATAGATGTGCTAATTAACTAGACAGTGGGAATCCTTTCACAATGTATAGGTAGGTATATTAAATCATTACTAGGTACATTTTAAATATCTTAAAAAATAAAAATTTTAAATTAAGAAAATAGTGAGGAAAGTGACATTGTTTTCCTACTTTTACAAATATTCAATACCTGGTTTAATTTTTTTAAAACAGGCTGTTGCATTCAATCTACTGTTTGTGTTATTTTGGCTCACATATATGAAGAAAATTCAGCCTCAACCAAATATGTAGAAGAAAGACGACACTCTGGACTCTCTAAAAGGATCCTCAAACCATACGCTGAGAACTACTGCTTTACTTCAACTATTCTCTTGCCAGCACTCCTAACATATTGATCCATTTATCTTTTGTCCACATTCACAATGTCAATCTCTGATAGTGGATCAGTTCAACCACCTAGACTGAGGTTGCTCCTATCACTAGATAAGAAAATAATACAACCAAACTAAGCTAAAATATCAAATAGTAAGAAAAAGATAGTACCAAACTTGTTCTCTTGTCACAGGCAACTAGAAAACTGGACAAAATATATGAAATAATTGTTTTCAGACTTTGGACAGCAGGTAATGCAAAGCTATAATCCCTAGCTAGGCTCTCTCTGGTGAAGCAGTGAGGCACTTTCCAGAATGAGGTAAAGGGATGGGTAACCCAAGTCTCTCAGAACTTGAGGAGACAAAGTTTGGAGTTCAAGAAGGTTGAAATGACTAAAATTTTCAGAAAAGAATGCCAGAGACAAGAAAGCTATACTAACAAAGAACTCCAAAAAACATGCCCTTAAGATTTTAGCTAAATATTAAGTTGTGCATATATACCCTAAAACTCCACAAGGCCAAGCAGAGGACAAGTACAGGAAAGCTCTATGCTAAATAACACCTAAAGTTCACAAAATGCAGAGAAAAATTCAAGTTCTGACCAACCAAGGTGAAGGAGAGACCCTGATAAACACCCAGAGCATTCAGTAGAGAACTCAGAAGAGTCATGTGTTAGAAGTAGAACTAAACTAGCAATAGAGTAAAATCTATTCCAGAACCTTCCTAACAAAACTTAAAAACAAGCCTTGAAAGGATCGGGCTGATTACAAGTAACTTGACAACCTGTGAAACAAACTCATCACTCCTTAAAAGACAAGATCCGGACACTCTACAATGTAATAATTACAAAAAATTACTAGACATGTAAAGAAACCCCCATAATGTGATTCATGACTAGGAAAGAAAATGAAAACTTACTAGAAACAGACACAGAAATGACAGTGATCACGGAAATAGCAGACACAACTTTAAAACAGCTATGTTAAATGACAAAGAAAAAACCATGAACATTATGTGGACAAAAATGGAAACAAACTAAAATGGAACTTCTAAAGCTAAAAAATACAATATCTGAAATTAAAAATGCACTGCATGTGCTTAACAGTAGATAGTAAACTTGAAGACACAGCTGTAAAACAACAACAAAAAAAAAACCCCCAAAGCACAGAGAGAGAGGGAAAGAAAAAAAACAGAGAAATGAATGTAGACTAAGTGACCTCTGGTGGCAATAGGAAACGCACAGAAAAGTTGCACACACAAGTACAGTCTTTCTTCTGAACCACTTGAGAATAAGTTGCTGATCTGATAGGCAATAGTCCTTGAATATTTAAGCGTTTGTTTTCTACAAACACATATAACTATCAAAATCAGAAAATTAACAATGATATATTTCTACTACCTAATATTTAGAATCCAATCAAGTTTACTGTTCCAAATAATAAATGAATGTCCTGTTTAGGAAAAGAATCTAGTTCAGAATCACACTTCCCATTCAGTAGTCTCAATTGCAATCTTTAGTCTCTCTCAGCCTGGAAAAAGTTTCAATCTTTAATTGAATGTCATGATCTAGACATTTTAAAAGGTTACAAGTTCAGTTAATTCACAAAATGTCCTTTAGTTGGGTTTGCCTAATTAGGTTGTGTCTGACTCCTAATTAAGTTCAAGTTATGTATCTTTGACAGGAAAAAACAGAAAAGATATGCTGAGTTCTTTTCAATGCATCCTAAGAAGTGGTACGTAATTTTGATTTGTCCCATTACCTTTATCACTTGATTAAACTGGTATCTGCCAGTTTTCTCCAACACAGTTACTATTTTCCTTTTGTAATTAACTATTTTGGGAGGACACACTTTGAGACTTTATATCAATAACCTAATTTTCACCAATCTTTATTTCTATCAGTACACTCATGGTTCCCTATAATAGTCAATGGATCATAATAAAATACTATAATTACTTTGATAACTACTGTTGGTTGCCTTTTCATTTTGTTGTTTCCTTTGTTGTATAGAAGTTTTTTAGATTTTTTGTTTTTGTTTTTAATCCTCACCTGAGGCTATGTTTTTATTGATTTTGGAGCGAGAGAAACATTGATGTGAGAGAGAAACATCGATCGGTTGCCTCCCACACACATTGACCAAAGATTGAACCCAAAACCTAGGTATGTGGCCTGACCAGAAACTGAACCTGTGACCTCTCAATGCCTGTGTGGGCTGAGGTTCCAACCAACTGAGCCACACCAGCCTGGGCTAGTAGTTTTTTAGTTTGATACAACACCATTTGTCTATTTTTGCTTTAGTTGCCTGTGTTTTTGGAGTCATATGCAAAATTCAGCTCTTACTTGAAACCAGCTTATAATTTTCTTCAGGAAGGCCTTTTATTAGGTATATTCTTAAATGCCCTCTAGCTTTCACTGTTAGAGTGAGTATAATATTTTAAAAACATATTGCTAAGCCCTAGCCAGTTTGGCTCAGTGGCGAGAGCATCCACCGGGCGAATGAAGGGTCCCGGGTTCATTTCCAGCCAAGGGCACATGCCTCGGTTACAGGCTCAACCCCGGCCCCCAGTCTGGGCATGTGCAGGAGGCAGCCAATCAATGTGTCTCTCTCACATAGCTGTTTTTCTCTCTCTCTCTCTCCTCCCCCTTCCACTCCCTCTGAAAAGCAGTAGAAAAAATATCCTCAGGTGAGGATTAAAAAACATACAGTAAATGTATATATACATATATATTGCTAATAGGCCATTACTGATACACAAATGCTATCAATTTTTGTGTACTGCTCTTATCTTTAAAAGCCTCGCTAAACTTCCTTGTTCTAATGGTTTGTCTGTTGGTGCTCTAAGGTTACTTTTAATTGGTTTTACTATTAATGCATAATGTTTGCCATAATTTTCTGATGGACACCCTCCTCCAAGTTAAGTTCCCTCCTATATCTGAATAGGTGCTGAATTTTATCCAATTTTTCCTATATTTGCTTCCATCTGATTCTTCTCCTTTAGTATGTTAATGTCATGAATTACACTGTTACAACTTCTAATAGT